CTTCCAGCAGGACACACTTGTGCGTTGCGAAACCCCCCCCCCCCGAGTCTCTAACCACCGCAGTCTTCTAACCCAATCCCCCCAGGCCATCCATCAAATGCACAAAGACGTCGTCTTTGAGTACCCTGCAGGCGTAGAGAAACTGGGTGCCTCACCCCGCTGTCTAGTCCAGGGCATGTACAAAAAAGGCCGCTTGATTTCCGTCCAAGGCCACCCGGAGTTCACAGAGCCCATTGTCTCGTACCTGGTCAAAATGCGCGCCGAGCAGGGCATCTTTGAGGAGCAGCAGGCTAGAGATGCGCTGGACCGCGTCGCAAAGCATCACGATGGACTGGTGATTGCAAAGGCGTTTCTCCGCTTCCTGCTCGAGGACTAACTAGGCGAGCGCCTGATTCATCACGGTCAGCGTGTGAGTGTGACGGTGTTGTTAGAATGTACCGTGGTTACGCAGCCAAGTAGCGCCCAACCTAAATGTTGCACGTGTCAAGTCCATGTATGTACATGTACACATGCACTGCGTGCTGGGTCTAGGCGATCCATCTCGCTTGGTGACCCTGCAGACTGCGCAGTAGTATGCATAGCAGCATTTTGACTGACATTTCAAGAAACAACATATCTGTATCAAATGCACATTTTCTCAAATCAAAAACTGGCTTCGTGGCGCAATGGTAGCGCGTCAGATTCCAGTTTTCCCTGGAGCTTCCTGAAGGTTAGGCGTTCAAATCGCCTCGAGGTCACAAGCATTAGTTTCTTTTTTTTTGCTATCGTCATCGTCATGGCCTTAGTCATGTCATGCCGATGTAGCTATGCCTATTCGGTCACGGGTGTAGCCGTGTGGTCGGTCGGGCATGGGCATGTTTTTTTGCCAGAAAATTCTGTTCCCCGTGGCCCGCCGCTAACGTGCCGGTTGGTTTCAAAACAGCTTTAGCCATTGCCAATGTTCATGCATGGTGCAATGGAACGGTCGGGGGAGCGAGTGAGCGGCTTCATGCGTTATTATGTTGTGAAGCGTGTATCTGGTACATGCCCATGTGCGATCAGCTGCCCATGGGCTGTTCAGCAGCGTGTTGGCTGATGCGCGGCGCTCTTATCGCAGCTTGCCGCATTCGGACGTGGGTGAGCTCACTCAGCATCCGTGTGCGCCTTGAATAGTACCGAGCCGCTTTCGGGGGCAGAGAGGCTGCCATGTTGTCGTCGGGTGGGCGGCACTGGGACTGCTGCTGCTGCTGCTGTGCATGTCGTGGGAGTGGGAGTGGTAGCGGCAGCAACGGGCATATGGCGTCATGCGTTGCAGTGCCAGTGCCAGTGCCAGCAGCCCCGTCAAACGCGTGGCGGCGGGCGGCGGGATGCTGATCGCTGCGCCTTCTGGAAGCGGGCGCCCGACAAGGGTCCAGCGTCAGTGTCAGTCAACTCTGGCCGACCGAGTCCTTTGCGCAATCACAATCATCGCCTTCTCTTGCTCGCCCGCCCGCACCCCCGCAACGTCGCTCGTTTCCCCTAAAGTCTCTCCTTCGCCCTCGGCTGCGCCGTGTCTGTCGCCTTCCAACCTACTTTTTGTAATACACACAGCTGCTGTTTTCGCATGCGCCGAGCTGCATAGTCGCCTGCGCACCGCACTCGCCCAGCATCCCCCATGGGAAAGTGTATGCCGTCCCCACCACCCCTGGCCTTGGGCCTGCCATGAGCCTTTGCCGCTGACACGACTCTTTCCGCAGGGAGATATGGTGTAGTCCTGGACGCTGGGTCCTCTGTACGTCGCTCTGACGCCTGCCAGGTCGTGGTAGTCGCAATGTCGCTGACAAGCTCATAGGGGACGCGCGTCTACATTTACCGATGGCTCAACACCAACGCCGCCCGCAACAAGGCTACCGACGCACAGTTGCACAGTTTGCCAGTCATAGAGACCGACAAAAAATGGACCAAGAAGATCCATCCGGGTAAGTCGGCGTGCAGCCACCATGGCGCCGCCTGGGCTGACGTGCCGCCTCACAGGTATCTCGACATTTGGCGAAAACCCTCACCAAGTCGGCCCGGAACACCTCGACAAACTCCTCAGTCATGCCCTCAAGCACGTGCCCCTCGACCAAGTCTCCAATACACCCCTCTTCCTGCTGGCGACGGCCGGCATGCGCATCCTGCCCGAGCGGCAACGGAAAGAAGTCCTTGACCAGGTTTGCCAGTTTGCGCGGAGCACCACCCAGTTCCAACTGCCCGATTGCGATGTACATGTGCAGGTCATACCGGGCGAGACTGAGGGTCTCTACGGCTGGATAGCGGCAAATTATCTGCTCGGCGGCTTCGACAATCCAAAGGACCACCAACACGGCAACGGCCACAGCACGTATGGTTTTCTCGACATGGGAGGTGCATCTGCGCAGATTGCTTTTGCACCCAATGCTACCGAAGCTGAGAAGCACTCGAACGATTTGACTCTTTTGCGATTACGGACACTGGATGGTACACCACTGGAGCACAAAGTTTTTGTCACTACATGGCTGGGATTTGGCGTCAACCAAGCGCGCGAGCGATACATAAAGGCCTTGTTGGAGTCCAGCACAGAGAAAGAGCTACCAGATCCTTGCTTGCCCGAGGGTCTTACGGTGGAGGTTACAAAAGACGGCAAGCTGATTGATTCTGACGATGACGACGACGACCCGAAACCCAAGGCGGCAGCGGAACTCGTGGGGACTGGCAAGTTTTCTGAGTGTCTACATCGAACGTACCCGTTACTGGAAAAAGAGAAGGAATGCACAGATTCCCCGTGCTTGATCAATGGCCAACACGTACCTGCTATCGACTTCAACGTCAACCACTTCGTCGGCGTTTCGGAATACTGGCACACGACGCACGAAATCTTTGAGCATGGACACAAGAACAAGGCATACGACTTGAAGACGTACCAGGAGCGTGTCACCCAGCACAGCACGACACAACGACACAACGCCTTGTAGCTATCTCGTGGATAAGAAGAAGAAGAAGCGAAAAAAACACCCCTAGCAAACCCCCCCCCCACCCTAAAAATATATACACGCAAATTTGCATCCATCTCTCTATGATCATGCATTTCATATCATTTCATTCATCAAGTTTACTCATTCCGGTCTTGCCCCTCTTAGGGCTACTCGTACGACTCTTGATGCGCTCACGGCTAACCGTCCTCGTAAGCTCGAAGGCGGTCGGGGGCCCAAGACCCAAGCCGGAGCCTTCCCTGAGCAATTCGGCGGGGGTATGACCGAAATAGGTGGTGGGAGTGGCGAGGGCGTCAGTTTTGATTTGCGGCGTGGCCCAGCCGCTTGTGCGGCCGAGTTTCGAGGCGTTGGAGGACGAGTCGGAGAGGTCGTTGTCCGAGGAGGAGTCGAGGTAGGCTTCTTGGAGCTCGAAGCGGTTGGCGGGGTCGGTGCCGTCTTCGAGGTCGATGCGCTCGTAGGCTTGTTGGGTCGAAGAGGAGGACGAGGAGGAACCGAGGCCAAAGAGTTTGGCGGGGAAGCTGCGGCCGCGGCGGCGATGCAGTGGGTCTTTGCCTTGTCTGGGTTTGAAGAATCTGGTAATGCTTTGTTTGGCTGCCTTGCGGCGTTGCTTGCCGAGGATGAGGCAGAAGATGACGATGAAAATGATAATCATCATGAAGAAGCCTGGGATCCGGCTGGGATTCTCGATAAACAGCCGGTGCCAGTTGCTGTCGGACTCGTAGGGCAGCGGGATGCCGCCGGGATATTGGAAGTCTTCTGGGATACCGGGAGCGTTGGAGCCAAAGCCCACTGCCAGGGCTTCTTCCGAGGGCGGTGGGATCTCACTCGAGGCGTAGAGAACCATTTTTCCAAGTGTCCAGCTGAGTTCGATGTCGTTGATCTTGTTGACTGCCTGGAAAGGATCCGTAAAACCTTTTGCCTTTGCGTTGTCGAGTACGGCTTTGGTGGTATTGTGGCTGCCTTCCAGACCCTCTATTCCGACTCTTGGCACACCAATGCCGTCGTGCAACATACTAATGATCCAGGATGCTTTGAAACAGACTTCGCGTGCCTTGTCTTCATCGACCTTGTGACCCCACTTTTCTTTCTTGATGCCCTTTTCTATGCTCTTCCAGTCCTGGCTGCAGAATTCGTTGGGAACTCTGTCTATTTGGTTTTTTTTTTACTCTTCATTCTTTTCTATCTCGGCGGCCACCTTGATCAACCCGTTTTCGGCGTGTTGGCGTGTTGGCGTTTTCGTTTTATTTCTATTTCTATTTATATTTTGGCAAAATTGTATCCAATCATGATTTGATGCTCGTTAAGCAGATGCATTGATTTATTTATCCATTCATTGATTTGATTCATTCTTGTCTGCCCGTTCCGTCCCGTCCCATCCCGTTTCTCAGTCCTGTTGTGTGTAGTCTTCATCTGTCTGCTTGCTTGCCCCCCCTTTTTTTTTCCTTATCTTTTTCAATTGTAAATAAATAGTGCAATAAATCTCTGTCTCTCTCTTTCTTCATCATCTTCTTCTTCATCTTCATCTTCATCTTCATCTTCTTCTTCATCTTCGTCATCATCATCATTATTAAATAGATACATAACATAGCATGGTTAGTAAGTTAGTTAGTTAGTTAGTCTACATGGATAATCATATGCCGCGTTGTCCTGCCCAAAAAAAATCGCTTCAAAAACAGAAAAAACAGAAAATAAAAGGGAAAAAGGAAGGAAAATAAAATAAAAAATAAGGGACAGAAACAATAACACACAAAATAAAAAGGTCTTCTTGACTCCGTCCTCTCAATGCGAAAATAGAAGAAAAAGAGAGGAAGAAGAAAAAAAGAGAGAGAGTTTACATGACATGGAAGAAACCAGCATAATCTTCCTGTTCGATTCTTTGGCGCTTCGCCTCCATTTCCTGGGCCACGCTCTCGCCATTCACGCCATTCTCATCGTTATCAGACCACTTTCTCTTTGCGTCTTTTTCCTCCGCCTTGTCGTTGGACTTGTTGTGGTTGTGGTTGTTGTTGTTGTTGTCGTCTTCCTTCTTGGGCCAGAAGCGATGGCCGCGACTAGCCTTGTGCGCATACTCAGCCGCTTGAATCATGTCGTCTGTAATCTCGCCTTCTTCCCTCTCTTTCTCGCTCAGTTCAGGACGGGGCAGGACGAGATTGAGGGGCTCGTCGTCGAGTCTGAAGAAGACGCGCTGCACAAATTTGGTTTTGCTGCGGTTCCGCGGAAACCGGTATCTGAGCGTCGAGGGATTGCTGAAGGGGAAGTAGCTGCTAGATGCGTAGTCTTGCTTATCTTCTACTTCCAGCATTTGCCACCGCTCATCCTCGAGAAGGGCAACGACTTCTGAGTTGGCCCAGTCCTCGTAGATGTCGTTTGGTACGTTTGCAGTGAGCTTCTTCAGATTCTTGAACTGTAGCGCGTAGCGTATCCAGAAGCGGCGCCAGCCAATCATCTCGCGCTCCATGAGCGCCTTCTCAGCAGGTGTAGGACGTTTTGCTGCACGAAGCCAACCAGAAACACCAGGAACGTCGGCGGGATATTGAATCGTCAGCTCATCGACCATGGAGGCGATGGGTGTGAGGCTAAAGACAGCCTGGGTTGGGAGAAGCACCTCGCGCCTGTCGGCCCCTTCGCCAACAAAAGTTTTGAAAGGGCCAAAGTACAAGCTGCCGTCGAGGCCGGATGAAGGACAGGTATTACCGCGGTCACCAATAGAGATGCGAATGGGTATGTTCAGGCCTCTCAATCGCTCCACCATTGTCTGTATGCGTGAGAGGATATCAGGTTTGGGTAGAAAGGTACGGTTGGGCTCGAGATTTGCAGGAAAGACATCGCACATCATGCTTTCCCACGCGAGCACAGGCTTCCAGTCACATTCTTGTGCGAGCCATCGCAGTGCTTCCTGTACTTCAGGTTTGGCGCTTGGGTCGCTCATTGCTGGGTCGTTTGTTTGCTGTGGGGCTTGGCCAAAGTGGTGCCGTCGGTGCATGACGTTGACGAGATGGAAAGGGTGCAAGGTGATGTTCTGGAGGTTTCGAATGGGCTTGATGTTGATGTTGGGATATTTCTTAGAAATGGTCTGCAGACTCTGGAGTAGGTCTTCAAACGAAGCTCCGACACCCTGCACAACATGGTTGCCCAGTACCATGTGGTCGCGTTGACAGGCATCGAATGTCTTGTCGTCGAAAGCCTCCTCCTCATCGCGATGGTGGTGGCCTTGGGTTATCCGGTACGGAATAGGCCCTATCACATCCCTGTCGCGACGGTCTTCCATCCAGGAGTAGAGGCCTATCTCGACGTCCTTGATGCGCGCCCACTTTGTTGCGTCGGTGGAGAAGAGCGACCGATAGGGTGCGTAATCGTGTACCCTGAGTTTCGTCATGGTCTCGGGACAGTATTTCTGGACGCCATCCACCAGACAGCAAACGCGCTGATGGACCTCCCACTCATTCCATGTACTGTGTATCGAGATTAGCTTGTACAGGCGGCGGTACAGCGGCATGACTTACTGGAAGCCGGAGTACCGTTCTCGTATGGCCAGCGTCTTTAGCTTCTTGCAAATAGGGAAGATGGCGTTGGCGACGGAGCCCCCGTCGCGCCTTCGCGATATCCTAAAGCTCTGCTTGAAGCGATAGTCCTGGTACGAGTAGCTGTACTCGATGCGCGAATGTGCCGTGTAGTCAGCCCAGTTTGCTACCTCGAGCTCCTCCAGGCGGCCAAACAGGCGGGGGCAAGCCTCGGCCAGCATCTTCCATGTCCACGTCTCCTCAGGGGTCCAGACAAAGTCTTTGATGGCGGATATGTCGAGGCTGGTCAGGCAGGGCAGGCACTCGTCTATCCAGCGGAAGTCGTCAATGCTTGCCCAGTGCGACATTGCCAGCTTGTGGACGTGGCGGCGGTTGGAGTCATTGATGCTGTCCATGAAGCTCAGCCAGCGTATGCGGCCGATGCTCCTATACTTCCAGTCGCCCAGCCTGATGTCACGCACGTCGTTGAGCTGAATGGGGTATTTGTAGAGCAGTTGGTTCACGGTCACGCTGTCGGCCATGCCCCTGCACGAGCGCTTGAGGCTCCAGGCGGCGTCGCGGTCGAGGTAGTCCATGACACACTTGAAGATATCGTCGGGCAGCTTCAGCAGCATGCTCGTCTGGGGGGCGGGCGCCCGGGGCTTGGGCGGGTCGAGCGGGTCGAAGGCAGCCGGGCTGCATTCGCGGCTCGGGCCCTGGTCGAGCATGTCGGGCGAGAGGTAGTCGAAGTCGTGGAAGCTGAACAGATTCATCAAGTAGCGCTCGTAGCTCATCAGGGACGTGTCAGCGGGAGGGGGCCAAGGGGCGCGGCAAGCGTCCTGAGCAGCCCGGCGGAGAGGATGATCACGAGAAGGGAAGACACGAGGGCCCGCATGTGCAATGAGCGCGAGAGCAATGTGGGGTGTTTGCGCTACGGTGCTGGTGCTGGTGCATACGCATGTCAGTGAGCGGCGGCAGTGTGCAGTTGGGTGTGCATGTATGTGCGGACGTCGGTACTATGGATGTGTATGTAAGCTGGACGCGGCGTGTCGCATCTGCGGAGCGCCCTTCGGAGGTAACGACGCCGCCGCCGCCGCCGCCAAGCCCTCTCCAGCATTATTATCGCCATGATGCTTCTTCTTTCTTGCTCCCGCACCCCTCCACCCCCAGCAACCCCCGCACCCGCGCCACCATGGCCGACGCCCAGGTCTTCGAGGAGACGTTCAGCATCACCGCCGTCAACAATGACAAGTACGACCGCGTCTCGCGCATCTTCGGCACCTCGACCGACAGCCAGATCACCATGACGCTCGACATCAACCACGAGGTGTTCCCCGTGGCGACGGGCGAGAGCATCAGCCTGGTGCTGGCCACCACCCTGGCGCTGGACGGCAGCGCAAAGGGCGAGAACGACACCATGTGGCGCAACGTGGGCCGCCCGGGCGTCGCGACGCTGGCCGACATGTACGACTATGTCTGCTACGGCAAAAACTACCGCATGGAGGGCGGCAACGGAGACACCATGTGAGGCCCAGCGCCCAACGCGGCAGGTCGCAGCGAATCGCTACTAACGGCACGCAGAAAATACTTTGCTAGTTTCGGCGGCCTGCTGCTGTACATGGAGGGCCCCCACCGCAAGCTCAGCGGACTCAAGATCGACGACATCTACATGCTCGTCAAGCACTCATAGCTTCGGCCCATGGTCGCATGCGTGCAAAGACCTCAACGGCAGCATATACAGGCGTTTTTTTGTGGCATGCGCGGTGGCATTTGGTATCATCTGCTCTAAAAGTTTGGCAAGGCGTCTGGATACTCCCCCGAGAAACAGGAGCTCTCAGATGCACACTCGTCCTAGCTCTTACGACCAAATCTCACCCTTTTCTCATCATACTGTAGGAAATTCAAGTTTTCGGTGCAATCGGCTCACCACCTCGATGTAGTCCTTCTCGTTCTCCGTTGTCAGGATGCCGTGTCGGATGAGGAAGTCGAGCACGACCAGAGAGCAGTTGGGCTTGAATTCCCCCTTCCTCATTGCCTCCTGCACCTCTTCTACCGACCACAGATAGAACTCCTCGACCTCGTCGTCTCCAGGTTTCGGTATCGTATCCTCTGGAAGCTCAAGATCATATACGTATTGCACCTCGGGCTGCATCAAATTTGTCTCTCCCCCTGCTCTTTCGTCGCGGATGTACCAGTACGTGACTGTGCCGCACGCCTTTGCCTTGCTCCGCACGAGCTCTTCGGGCAGCGAGGCCTCTTCTGCGCATTCCCTGACCAAGCTCTCAAAGGGACTCTCGCCCGACGCGATACCACCCGCCACGGCATTGTCCAGCATCCCTCCATATGTCTGCTTTGTCCGTGCTCTTCTCGGTGTCCAAATCTTCATCTCCCCATCCTTGCGTGTAAAGGCCGTCAAATGCACACCATATGTGACGACACCAAACAGCGGACTGGCGCTCCTCTCCACATTGAACAGCAGCTCTTTGTTCCTGCCGTACACGGCATACAGCTCGCCTCTCCACTTATCCAGCACCTTGAAGTGGCCCGTCTGGCGCAGCGCCAGCAACGTCATCTCGACTACCTTTGACCTTTCCTGCGCATTGGACCCCGTCACGAGATCCAAGATGCGCTCGTCGTCGTCGATTTCCCAGTTCCGGATCCCGCGAAACACCTCGACGACCGACGGCAGCATGTAGCCCAGTGCATACTCGTGACCTGCGACGCGCAATTGGTAGTAGGTGTTGATGGCCGCAAAGTACGTGTCTGATTGGGCGTCCGGGTACGGAAACCTGTCGCATTGGTCTACGATGTCCAGATTGCTCAAGGGCATGTTTGCGGTGTATGTGTGTATGTAGAGGTTCGAGTGATGTGTTTGTGTGTGTGTGTGTGTGTGTGTTGTGCGGCTGGGAAGGGAACGGTACCGCTCGGGATTACTTACTGCTTGCCGCGTCATAAGCCGGGCGGTTTGGAGAGAGGTGGTGGGGGCGGGGTACTCAATCGGGCAACGGCTGTTCTTGTCGTCGACTCTTGCCGCGCGGTGGATTCTGGATGCAATGATGCCAATGCTACACCTACTTCTGCAGCTATGCCTTGAGTAAATGGCTCCAAGCGTCACCTGTCAAGCGCGAACGTGATGGAGTGGGCGCAAACGCGCGTCATGCTCGGATGCAGTTGCCTTGAGCTAGCTCTGATGCACAGATTCTCCTGAAGGCTGTAGTTCCACTCTCATACACCCGAATAAAAAAAACAACAACAACATTGAAGCACATACATACACAGCAGAAAAAAAAATGGCAGATCAAGATACAGCAGAGCTTACTGCCAAAGTCGCGCTTGTGGTCCCGAAGAACCATGTCAAGACCGTCAAGTCCGCTCTGGAACAAGCCAACCAGCTCGACCGAAGCAGCAAGATCCTACCCGAGTCGAGCCAAGATACCACGAGACACGCTGCGCAGCAAGCTCGGTTTCCACTGCTTTCGTTTGACGTGGAGAGCGGTCAATATGTAGACAGTAGCCAATACGCCGACGCCTCTGTGCCTCCGCAGCAAAGCCAACATCAACCACCAGGAGCATCTGCTGAAGGAAGCAAAACAAAGTTCCCTGCATTGGACTTCGATCCAGTCAGGGGCGAGTACGTTGATGCGTCTAACAAGGCCGAGCCATACCCACCCCAGCAGGATACAGTACACCAACGAATGCGCATTCCAACGACTATTTCCTATCCTCCAGGCGTTGGTGAAACAAGTGCAGATTTGATTGAAGAGAATGGCCATAGATTCAAGACTACAATCTTGCGGAATCTCAATCTGCATCACCTATGCTCCGATATCGAATTAGCACACCACGTCGCCAGTGCTGGTGCATCAAGGCCCTCAGCCATCAAAAGCCCGGTTCACAAAGCACTGAAAGAGGGTCTCTCAGCAATTGGAGAAGCTGGGCTGCTTGACGTGGATGTTTCCCCCGAGGCACTCGTCTCTGCTTTCCCTGATGGATACTCCTTATATAAGCCCATGCTTCTGCTTCCACACAATGCGTTCTCTTCGCCGCCATGGAAGACGCTCCTTTCGAAAACAGCCCTGGATTCCAAATTGCTGGAGCCCATCTGGAAGCGTGTTGCAGAAGCCGTGGGTGCAACACACGTCGCGGTCAACTCACCCATTCCGCTTCGAAGCAATTCCAGCGCCCACGCCGATTCAGAAGCAAGTCCGAGGAGCCAAGAGAATATTCTCCGCAGCCCAGTCGACCTGGTACCAATCTACGGCGATTTTGGACCCAGCCCCACGCCGGGCACAATGTCGTGTCCCACTGCTGCTGATTTCGAACAGGCTCTGTGGGTTGCTGCAAAACAAAACGGCATCTGGCAGGTCTGGGCACCGCGGTACACAATGTTCAGCCGGGGCAACATTCGCGAGAAGACTCGCATACTCAATCTGCCCTCTGTTGCCAATGACTTTGATGTGCCTTCGGCAGCCGTGGATCTCTATGCAGGAATAGGCTACTTTGCCTTCTCGTACCGAAAAAGCGGACACGACCGCACACATGGAATCCGAAGAGTCATGTGCTGGGAGCTCAATCCCTGGTCTGTTGAAGGACTACGACGAGGCGCAGAGAAGAATGGCTGGGCGTGCAGTATCATCAAGGGAGATGGCGTATCTCACGTGCCTAGTGAGAGTGAACTGCAGGAAGCCGACTTTTGGGTCTTCCAGGCAAGCAATGAGGGCGCCAACGAGGACTATGCATCTGTATTGGCTGGCTCAGACTCTGCTGCCTGCAAGCTGCCAGTTCGACATGTCAACCTGGGCTTGCTGCCTTCTTCCAGGCCCTCCTGGGAAGTGGCAGTGAGGATGCTGGATGAGCAGCGCGGTGGATGGATCCACGTGCATGAGAACGTTGGTATGAGGGATATCGAGTCAAGAAGCAGAGATATCGAAGACAGCATTGCGCAGTTGATCAGGCACGAAATAGGAAGGACAGATAGGGCCGCGCTAAAGATGGAGCATGTTGAGTGGGTGAAGATGTACGCGCCGGGCGTTGTGCACTGCGTGTTTGATGTCCACGTTCCAGGTGTGCATTAGGTGCTCGGCAGATTACCTGGTGATGCAGAATCATAGTTAGTACTGGCAGATGCTGAAACTATTCTGAACAAGCACGTCGTGTCACTTGGTGGCGCAGTCATTGCCACTTGGCCTGGTGTGCTCTAGTGATGGTCTGCCCAAAGGAGATACAAAGCCATGCCGAGCCCCCCCAAAGGAGATATCTCGACACCATGTGCATCGAGGCGCCCCTATCACTTGGTGTTTTGAGGCAAAACGAAGTTGTGGTCCGGGGTGCATGCAACGAGCTTGATGATCCTTCTGCCCAAGCCACCCACGGTGGGGGGCCCTTGGCCAGGTCGGGTCTTGCTTGCCTTCATTTACTGCACTCGTCAACATTGGTTCCGATATTGTACGCGAGTACGAGGGTCGAGGCAGCTGCAGTGGGGTGATCTGCCTGTTTGGCCCAGATAGGCAGACATGACACAAGTTTTCGGTCAGAAGCTCATGCGAACATCAGAGCCTGCTGGTGGAGAAGATGGCCGGTATCGGATGACAGTATCAAGGCATGTGATTTGACACGGGTCCCAGGACAGTGAGGCGCGCCTGGGGGTGACGATGGCGACGGCGGTAAAAGGATGCATTGGCAAATCCTTCCCGGAGGCTCTACGTAGCGGTGCTGGCGACATGTGCGCGTCATGCAGCTCCGGGCAAAAGAACAATGCGACGAGGCATCTCGTGGCCATGGTCTCTGCGTTGACAGGGCGCGTGCTGTTGGTGTTTCGGTGTAGTACGGTAGGCAGTCGGGAGCAGGAGCGGTAAACAAAGCAGGCGGCCGTAGATACGTGGCTGACGAGGCGAATCGAAGGCGGCTCGCCTCGTTTCGGGCCATGTGAGCACAAGGCGGTGATGCACATGTTGATAGATAGTCGCCGGCTTGAGCATGGCGCCTTGGGTAGCCGCGGAAATGGCCAAGCAGCTCGGGGCCTGTGGTTAGGAGGTCGAGTATTGCACCAAGACGCTTTGGAGGCGCATGCATGAAAAGGGCCTAGGGTATCCCAGGCGATCAGCCGGCGTCGTGGGTTGAGTGGCGGCGGGTGCAGGCGCAGGATGCACCGCGATGGCGAGCGACGGGGTGGTGACGCTGCGGGCGGCACGCAGGCTGTGAGTATGTGTGTGTATGTGTGTGTATGTGGATATGGATGCGCACTGGAGGTGTGCGTGCAGTCAGTGGGCGAGTCATGGCGACGCAGCGATGCGAGCGCGGGTGGGAGAGTAATGGGCGGGCTCTGGTTGGGCGGGCGCCACGGCGGGCTCACCGCCCTTCGATGACTAAGCGGCGGCGGCGCTCACTCGCGACACGCCCACGCCCGGCCGGCGAGCTACTGGACGTCTCTGCCTACTTAGCATGTACGTGTGCGTGTGCGTGTGCGTGTGCGTGTGCAGCACCGCTCGAGCATCCCCCCCACCTGCCTGCCGCCAGCGCCCCAGGCCCCCTCCACCATCCCCACGGCCGTCCGTGTCTGCTGCGTCTGCCCGTGGCCTCACTCGCCAGCTCCAGCACCGCTATCCGCTCCCGCTCCAGCACCGCACCGTGCACCCGCACCCGCTGCCACCGTGTGACATCACCCTCTACAGGCCTCCCTCGCCCGCGCCCGCCAGCCCGCCAGCCCACCAAGCCCACCAGGCCGACGACCACCGCTGCCACGCCCGTCGCCACCCCTCGCCATAGCCATAGACATAGACGCCCGCCCGCCCCCTCCCAGCACCACACCGGCGCGGCCATGGGTCGACCAGCACGCCGCACTGTCCGAGCCCGCCCAACCCACACCGGCTCCCTCGCTCTCTGCTAAGGCCACGAGCACGCCTCCATGGAGGAATGCGCCCTCTGCCCGCCATGATCGGACACCTCTTCAGCAGCCGCAAGGGCGCAAACGCGTCGCACGCCGCCCCGCCCACGGTCCTCGACTCGGCCACCGAGGAAAGCCACACGCGACACCTGCTGTATCCCGAAACCAACACGCTCTACCACCCCGACAGCCAGCCCTACCCTCTGCACGCCGCCCCCCTGACGCCCGGCAGCGGCCACGACGGGCCTCTGCCTGAGATCGACCTCGACTACCCCCGCGACTGCCGCATCATCATTGCCCAGGATGAGACGCCCGCCATGCCCAAGACGATCCTGTTCGACTCGAAGCCTGCCCCGCCCCGCCCCGACCCGCCCACCAGCCCGAACCCACGAGCGCGAGCATTTGGCGGCAGCAACACCACCACCGCCGCTACACCAGCCCCGCCGCCGGGCGCCCTCCATGCACGGAGATCGTCCCTCGTCACAGAATCGACGGCGCCGCCTCGCTCGCCGACCGTCGGTGGATTTACGCGCGTACGGACCCGCGGCAGCTCCATATCGTCCATGCCAAACATCGACGAGCATGCCCAGCTCCAGGCAAAGGCACAGGCACGAGCCAAGGAATCCACCGACCTGGCCAACATCTGCCTCGACTGCATGTTCGGCAACCTGGCCATGAACTACAGAGGCAACTCCAACAAGATCCACATTGTGCCGCTCGACACCAAGCCCACCGACACCTCGATGCTGGGGACGAGTGCACAGGATACCACCAGTTCCTTGGGTCGCGCCGAGGGCCTCCGCCGCAGAAGCCATCTCGCCAAATCCTTCACGCCCGCGAACCCGCCTACAGACTTTGCGCCCAGTGATTCCAGTGAGAGCCTACCAAAGGAGCCCAAGCGCAGGACCATCTTCATCACACGCATGTTTTCCGTCACGATCCCAGAAGAGGACAACGACGACCGCACACCGACTCCACAGAGCTCCCTACCCAAGGGCAATGGCTTCCCTTTCCCAACAACAAATACCACCACCAAGCCTGGCGCCACTAAGCCCGTGTATCCGTCACACACACGCAAGAGCCCCATGTACGCCATCACCATCATTCTCCATTTGCCCATATCGCAAACGCCGCCAAGTATGAGACCTTGCTCAAGGGGTGCCAACTTGAAGAACCCCACGCATCTATCCACTTCTGCCCCCGGACAAGACTCGCTTGCTTCCTCCCTCGACTCCGACCGCCGTGCAGGGTGGGCGTTCGTTGAGGCTAATCTGGGCGTGGATTCATTCCTCTCATCATCACTAAGCAGCGACGTGGACGACCGAGTCGATGTTGTTGGTCAGCACTGGGATGTCATCATGCGGGCGCTCACCAGTCTGCAACATGTAGTGCAAGAACGCATTCTCGCGCAGTTCAAAACGCCCAAATCCCCCGAGCCCACCACACCCTCAGGAGCTCAGCACCAACGGAGCCAGTCTTCTCGAACTAGTTTTCGCGAGTCATCCATTCAATACTCTCGGAAGGCTTTGAGGCTGCAGCCCAATGCTCTGATGTTGGATAGGGAAATCCAAATCGCTGCAGAATTAACCGGGAATCGTGTCGTCAGTGGCATGAGGATCCCTCGCGTCATGACTGGCCAGGGGAAATGGGGCGTGTGGCGCGAAGAGGCCAGATGGCTTGGTCGGTGGGCAGGCCGCCGAGAGCAGAATTTCTTCTTCTTCAACCTCCTAACGGCATTTCTCGGGAATCACACCGAATGGCTGAATATGCTGGGCCCAAAGTGGCACCGCAAGCGCCATCGCGAACAGCAAAAGGCAACCGCAGGTGAAAACCTGACAATTGCCAACCGCACCGTCGTTGTGTCACCAGACAAGATGGCTGCAAGGAGATTGATCTTCCTCCTTGCTGCCTTTCTGCCATCTAATGCATCTGCCGTGGCTGACAATACGTACATGCGCCCCAGCACCTCAGCGTCACTCCGAGCCTACTCTCAGTCGCCTCCCACCAACATACCTCCCTCAAGGCAGCAATCCCTACGCCGCCAAATCAATCGTAGGGGGCCCCGTCATAAGCAAAGCATGTCGAATATACTTTTGCAGCCTCCAAAAGTTCAAAATGCTCAACAACCATCAGCGCCACTCACCCATGAGCGCTCTGACTCTGCTTTGATTGAGACAACCGAGCTTTCTCGGCCAGTAGGCCACTCTCGGCGCTCTTCTGCACACTCAGTCCGCACGAGTCTACCGATTCCTTCCTTATCCGAAGGACCAGTCACATCAAGCAGCACTGTCACCACTTCGACAGCAATGCCTCAAGAGACGATTCCTGTCGCTCATTTCACATTTCCTAGGACCAAATCATTTGGCCCTGCCACTGAGACGCGGCCGGAAAGCAGTGATAGCCTTGCATCGTCCAACTTGATCAGTACTTTGCAAAGAAGTGGTACTGGACAAACCAGCCTTGCAAGCAATGATTCCAGCAACACGAGTCGTTGGAGCGGCTTCATGAACTTCTGGAGTGGTCGACGGTCGTCCTCGACGGACCAGAGTGAATTCTTTCAAACAACAGACGATGGTGTCGGATATCGCGGGCAAGAGCGGTCGCGGTCGCAGCTCGAGCTCATGGTACAAGAACTCTCCATGGATCGCGTATTCGAGAGCGATGCTGCCGACTCCCCACTTCCGCCTGACACTTCTACCGACAACACCTCTCCTGATTCCTACTCTAATACTGGGTGTCCTGGTGTTCCTGCTTCGGCTGCACGACCCATCCCTGAGCGTCCAGGGACATTCGAGGGCCACTTGAAGCTTTCGGTCAACGAAAAAGACGGAGTGATTGATGTCGATATTCCCCTTCCTGATTTCGACTCTCCTCTGCAGTCACCGCTCCTCGGAGGCTACGGATCGGCGTCTAGCCAACCAGGCTCCAGCTTCGGCGAGTCATCTGTCCTCTCGGTGCCACACGGCGAGCCAGAACAGCCTGCTAATGTGGCTGGATGGTTGAGCCAGTTCCACCCCGACTTTGCTGTCCAAGCCATCAAGCCATATCGTGAGCTTGAACGCGACATCAAACGAGCAATGAGTGCAGAGCCTACCCCTCTGAGTGCTACGACTACGCCCAGTCTAGAGTCTGGTCCAGTGGAGCGCTGGATTGACATATGTTCTGCACTCATCGCTGACACGAGTAACTTTTCCATTAAGCGCATCAGCCTGCGCCGTCTGGTCAAGCTCATTCCTACCCCTACCTATCAGCAGTCAGCAATGACACCGGGCGTGCTGCCGGGTCGCTCTCAATACGGGAACCCGTACACATCCAGCACGGTTGTGCCCTTGATGACTGAAGTCCACCTGGCTGAGAAGTTTGTCACAGAGACAATCATGGACTTTGATGCCACCCTGATTGATGGTGTGGATCGCGTTCTTGCTCAATCAGGAGAAGTAACTCGCGTCAACTCGGCTCAATCATCGCGATCCAGTAGCAGGAGGGGGCGTCGCGATACCAGAGCGGATTCTGATGCCATTCCACACGTCGAGGTACCGCACATTGACTGCAAGAGTGTTCTCTTTGAAGCTCTAGAGAGTGTGGTCAAGGAGGTCACCGCTGAACGCGCTGGCAGACATGCGTCGAAGGGTAGTGACGACAAGAAGACAGCAACAACCAAAACTGCCGTGCCCAAGACCGAGAACGATTCGTCGTTGAAGGAGGGCATTCGCAGGTGGCTGACTGAAGTCGAGTGAAGCCTGGTAAGTTTGCTATATCTATAGCGTGTATTATACTTTGGATTTTTTTGCTGCGTTTTAGCGAGTATTGTTTAGGTCTGTCTAGGAATCGAGGCGGCCATTTGCGATTTCTTTGTTTTTTCCTCTTTCTTGCGAGGAGTTAGGCCAAGGCATACCCAGGCTATTTGGGGGTTATGCTATGGGCAAGGAGATCTTCAACAGTATGTGGATGGTTTTAGATGGAACCATGGGCCTTTGTGAAATCACAAAGCGCATCCATAGCAGGCGCGAATGTTATCAAGAGCGTAACCATACCTGCGCATGACCAACTGATTTTATTGCGCCTCGTCTTCTCTTCTAGGTTCCGCATATGCGGAATTAGTCAAACCATCTCACGTAAAGGAAAGAAGTGGAAGGGTGGAGGCTTGTTGCCCCACGTGTTCTGTATGCGCATAAGCTGTTTGTCATGACCAAGCATGACTTAGTCAAGCTCGTGCAATGCTGAGTAACCCGTTCTCGGAACGCGGGCCCCGCCAAATCGGAACGGAAGTAAGCCATGACGTTCTCTTCACAGCATATTTGCAAGCCTTCAATCACAGCTATATAGCCCGGGCACGTTGCTTTTGACCAAGACCCTTGTTGTATGTTTTTCCGCGCTTTCCGATTCGCATCAGCCTCGAGCTGTCAAATCCCTATCACGTCACATTTGCACCGACTCCCTCTTGCATCACAGTACACAAGGTGGTTTTCAGTATCGAAGAACTTGGCAGCTATGGACAAGGCTCCCGGACAAGAGGGCAGAGGATCTATTACCGACTGGGTACGCATTTTTCCTGACATGATACACTGTTTTATGTTTATTTGATATGCATGGAATAGACACTGGAAAACAAGACCTTTTTCTAATTCATACCCAAAGGTCAAACCGGGTGACAAGAGCGGCGAATTCAAGCGCCAAACCTCAGTGTTTAGAAACTGGATCGAGAACAAGCCCAATGCCGAATTCCCACCAGAAAAAGGCCGATACCATCTCTACGTCTCTTATGCCTGCCCATGGGCGCACCGGACACTGATTGTACGCCACCTCAAGGGTCTCGAAGACATCATTTCGTACAACAGCGTGCACTGGCACATGGGCGAAAAGGGATGGCGCTTTGCCACGCCCGACGAGCAGGTCCCAGGCGCCACGAAACCGGACCGGCTGCACAACGGATACACACATCTCCGCGACATCTACTTTGAGCAGAACCCAGACTACGAGGGCCGCTTCACGGTGCCCACGCTGTACGACAAGAAGACGAACAAGATTGTCAGCAACGAGTCTGCAGAGATCATCAGGATGATGTACACGGCTTTTGACGACATCATCGATGAGAAATATCAAAACGTAGTCTTGTTCCCTGAGAACTTGCAGAAAGAGATTGAGACGATGAATGATTGGGTCTACAACGATATCAATAACGGAGTGTACAAGTCGGGATTTGCTACGTACGTCTTCTTTCGAGCTACCTCTATTCCCTTGCTTGCTGCTAGTTTTTTTTTCGTGGGATCGTGCTAACACTGCCATACACAGGACCGAGGAGGCCTACACAAAGGCCGTGACGCAACTCTTCCAGTCTCTGGACCGCGTGGAAGAGGCGCTCGCCCAGTCGTCAACCCCATACCTCCTTTCGGCACCGCACGTCACAGAAGCAGATGTCCGGCTTTATACCACCATTATCCGCTTCGATCCCGTTTACGTCCAGCACTTCAAGTGCAACATTCGTGATATCCGCTCGGGATACCCGCACATCCACAAATGGCTGAGGCATCTGTACTGGGTAAGTCTTTTTTTTTTGCCATGCCCCCTTGTTCCCGTTCGCACTAAATGTGCACCACCATACCATGTATGGCTTTGCTGACTTTTCGCAAAAAAAAAGGACTACCCTGCCTTCAAGGAAACCACAAATTTCGAGCACATCAAGAAGCACTACACCAAGAGCCACAGCCAGATCAATAAGTTCCAGATTACGCCTGTTGGACCGCTGCCCGATATCTTTGCCAAGGACGACGAGGTGCCTAGTGTGAAGGCTGCGTTGAACAAGTAGGCACACCATATATGTGTGTGTGTACATGAATATAAATACTTTTTTCTTTCTTCGTCCGATAAAGACATCACTATTCTAGCATCATATTGCTTTCCAGTACGATTCAACACAATTGGCAAATGTCAAAAAAATCAGTGTCAGGCGTATTTGGGCCAATGATGACATGCGCGTTCCTTTGGGTATCTATGTATTTTCTGGGAAATGCCCAGACAACTACACGTGCTAGATTTCAAACATGACCGGCTCGTGGTAAATTATACATGTCCATGAATAAGTGTATGATATACACGGGAAAAGCATTGCATGGAAGCCAGAACCCCCCCTCCCCCCCCCACTGCCGCATCCCTACAAAAACTGGACTCTTGTCTTTAGAGCAGAGTCGCGCCAACGCTACCGAGTGTCTGCTTGGTCACTTCATCTCTGACGTGTCCCACCTTCTTTGCAGAGTCCAAGATAGCGCCCTCGATGGCCTTGAGAGCTTCGACCAACTCGCGTCGCTGATCACGGGGCGCGCTACGGCTACCCGTCAGTTGCTGCGCCTTTTCCACTGTACCGGCTTCCATTGTGCGCAGATGTGCTTCGATCTCGCGGATTTGTCGCTGGTACACATCGAGTGTGCGGCCGAGCTCGTCTGTTCGGCGATCGAAGTAGCCCATCAGGTCCACAGGCTTTGTCGAATCATCGTCGTCGAGAGCGCCCGTAGTTGGTGCCTTTGCGCTCGAAGCTGTGAGGTTCGCGTTGTTGCGGTAATGGAATTGCGCCGGTAATCGCTGGTTTTCGATTGCGCGGAAGCTGAGGGTTGCGTCCTCGGCGTCTTTTTTCACCAGGCTCTTTAGATGCGCAATATTCGCCGAGTCGTTGTCTAGTCCTACCTCGACTGTGGACAGGAAAGTCTCAATGTATGCGACATCGGGCGCAATGGTCGCAATCTCACGCTCGTTACCCGGGAGCGACTCGCGGATTTGATTGCAGTAGTTGACTTTCCGCTGTATGCCCTCGTCGAATTGCTGGATCAGAGTTTGCAGCTCTGGATGCAGGTCGTTGAAGCGCGTGGTTCCTCGTATCGAGTCCAATGTTAACTGGACTGGCTGTGCGCTCGCTCCCATTTGAGTGCTTCCCAGCGTAGAGCCGCCCAAAGTGTTGGACCTGTTCTGGGTGTTCATTCCTCCAAACAAGCTATTTTGTGGTTGCGCCTGCTGCTGCGTCGAGCCGAACAACGAGGGAGTGGATGTTTGGTTCTGCTGGGTGGAGGTGTTGTTTCCGAACAAAGATGGTGTTGCTGTTGTTGTTGTCTGTTGGGTTGACGAGCCGCTAGAACAAAGAGTTAGCCTTTGTGCGACGCCGGAATAGGACTATAGATTACAATAGCGAGGGCTTTGACTGCGCACCACCAAATAAACCGCCTGATGGAGTGGCACTCTGTGCCTGGGTCTGTGTGTTTGCGCCTGAGGCGCCGCCAAACAGACCCCCAGTAGAGGGGGTCGCGCTCGCGGGCTTATTCAAGTTGCCGAACAGTGAGCCGGATTGCGCTTGTTGTGGTTGTTGTTGACCTTGAGCTGTGTTGTTGCCGCTGCTACAGTCAGTAAACTGCATAGCAGAAGGGTGTGTGTTCGGAACGGGCAAAGACGTACAAAAGGCCACCACCCGTATTGATGCTCAGAGAGTTGGAACGCCCAAAGCCAGCCATTTGGTCTCAAGATGGCTCCTTGTTTCTTCTTGCTTGTCGTGAGAGGCTTGTGGAGCAGAGCTCTCCTGGAAAAGGGAGCTTGAGAAATAGGAAATAGAGAGACCAGAGAAGAAGACGAGGAGCTGGATGTCGACACAACCCAACAAGCCGTGGAGAAATTTAATGTAGCGACACAATGACGGCGAGCGTCAGTAATGAAGAAGCCTGCCTGTGTTTGGATGCGCGCCCGGCGCGGGAGCACGGACCAAAGCGCGTCTCGTCGGCTCGGCTAATCATTCCCTCTTGCAGCCACTCCAAGAAGCTCAACTCTGTCTGCGACGAGCCCTCTCGACAAGGCCGCCGTTGAACACGACTCTGACGGACGAGTCTCCCTTTGTTCCGCGCAAACGGCGACGCGTCTCACGACTGCCCGACGAAAGAATATCCAGCCATGGCCGACGAGTCAGACGATGATCTCTATGGAGACGAGAGTGCGACACAGCAAAAGAAGGATGTCAAGAAGGCCGAGGACAACTCGAGCGGGGATGAGCCCATGGACGAGGAGTCGGGTGAAGATGACGACAGTGACTCAGTATGCCGCGTGCTACCCAATGCGCTCAACTGTGAGCCCCAGGCTGACGAAGCTCCAGGACATCGACATCATCATTGAGAAGGCGCCTGCGCCAGCCAAACCCACAGCGTAAGCTCGAGTCAAGCTCTGCATGCTCTCTCTTCCTCTGACACGGGCCCTGCAGCACACATCAAACACAAGAATCCAAGGCAGTAAAGATTGAAGCTCCCGCACCCTCGTCTACACCAGCACAGCAACCACAAAAGCCCGCTCCTACGGCAGGCGGCACCGTTCCCCAGCTATCTGCATCCGCCCTCTCAGGCACTGCCTTCCCCGCCCAACGCACCTCGACCATTGACGTAAACGGCAACCCCGTCTATCCACCACAAGGCAAAGACATTCTATCCGTAGACATTGATGCCGATCTCGCTGAAGAACAGAAAATCTGGCGTCGGCCGGGCGAAGACCAGTCGGATTACTTCAACTATGGCTTCGACGAGTTCACATGGGAGCTTTATAGACAGCGCCAGGTAGCCATGGCGAACACACTACAGGGCCAGAAGAACGACATGGCGCAGATGCAGGCCATGATGGGCGGTGGGCCCATGCCTGGTATGCCTGGTATGGGAGGCGTCCCCCCGCAAGGCAACGGAGCGCCAGGTGGAGCGCCGCCTTCTGGCCCTGGGGGTGCCGGCGCTGGTGCTGGTGCCGGTGCCGGCGGAGCAATGGGGCCTGGCAGTATGAACGAGCAGCAAATGCAGATGATGATGCAAGAGATGATGGCACAAGGCATGGACCCGAGCCAGATGGACTTTGCCTCATTTATGCAAATGGCTGGCCAAGGTATGGGGGGCTTCCCTGGTGGGCCTGGCGGCCAGCAGGGCGGGGGATTCCAGCAAGGCCACCAAGGCGGGGGAGGGAGAGGCGGACGGGGTGGAAGGGGACGAGGCTGGTAATCAGAGCGATGCAGTCCCGTGTCTCCTCTAGCTGGCAATATCGGACTGCATGAGTTCACAATGCTCGGCTTCGTGGCGTTTTGATTGTCTTATTACGATACCATGGGCGGAAAACGGCCTTTTGGCGCAAGCAGTCTGTTTCAATACATACAGATCAGCCTCCTTTCGACAGGTACTTGGTCGGCCTGTCTGGACCAAGTCGTCGCAAACCAGCCTAAATAGTCCCACGAATGCTGCGCATCGAGACGCGCTCCCTTTGGGCGCCCCTTTGAATACCACATGCCTCATCTTCGTCCGCTCATCCGCGTCCTTGTTTGCTTCCTTGGCCCCTGTGCGTGCGTAATCCCTCAGCACTTGCAGCCCAAAGCTCGTGGCCATGCGCATGCTCTGCAAACTTTGCACACTCCTTCCTGTATACTGTATACACTGGTTACGTCTCCATTGGGTCTCCGCCTTCGAGAATGTGCGCCGGTATCCGTCCCTCTGCGAAATCCTTCTCCAGCCGCGCCATCTCTGCCAGGCTGCTTGCGTTGAGGATGGCAGCTCGCATCCGCTTCTTCTCGTCGTCGGTGTAGATGCGCTCTTTGCCTGAGTCGGCACCGTTTGTAAATGTGGGTACGACGAAGCCTTTTGATTTGTTGTTCGAGATCTAGATATATTAGCATACGTCAAGACGTGTACGATGGCTTCACCATCCACACGCACCTGGTTCGCAAGTTCTGTGGGCTCCTCTGCAGTTCCAAACAGCTCGGTGGCCTTCTTCCGTTCAACGTCGCGGACTTTGGCAAAATCCAAGAATCTCACGGTTGGACAGCGCCAGATGACCCAATACCTGTAGTTCTGCCAAAAAAGTTTAGCATTCCATGTACCACAAAACTCTGCTGCACAGCGCTGGGTACATTCGTCGTAGCGAGTAGCCCACCCGGCATCAAATGTGCTCTTTGGGCTGGAGATTACTTGCCACAATTAGGCTCAGAAGCCGGAGAAGCATGAGCGCTCATTACGTACCTCTTTGCTAGTAACTGGGTTTCCCAGCAACGATAGGTATGTCAGAGCCTTGAAGCCCGCCAAAGGGTCCAAGTCGGCCAGCTCTGCGATCCGGTTCTTCGTAAGGACTAGTGTGCGTAGGTTGGGTATGCTAGACGACAGGCTCGGTTGGATGTTGGAGATGCGGTTTTGCGCCAGGAACAGGGTGCGAAGGCGGGGCTGGAGAGGGAAATTCCCTAGTTGCGCGATATCGTTGTCGGTCAGGTCTATTGCGTCGTTGTCCTACGTGACATGTGTGTTAGCATCTTGTCTACGAGCTTCACCAAGCCAAAACAACTTACTCGTGCCGCGCCCATGTTTTCAATGGCGGAAATCTTGTGGCCTAGATGTTACGATATTGATATCAACTCAGCCCTCAAGTGTAGTATCTGCTCTTTTCAACGCACCTCGCAGATCGAGTTCACGCTCCGTGAGACAGTTGATGAAGGAGAGGGAGTTGTTGATCAGGTCCGTGGTTAGCCTCATTTTGGCAGTGTGCGATTGATTGTCCTATTCGTTTGTATTATAGGCGAGGGTGTGGAGTTCAAGTCGGGCTATCGCGTGTTGTTATGTGCGGGGATTGCGAAAGTCGGTCGCGGACATGGAGCTTCAGTGGAAATTCATGGCCGCGCTAAGAGCTCCCACTAGCGCTGCGTCTGCCCGCCTCCATCCATACCACCAGCCAAGCCCGCCTACATCACTCGATTGCAACGATCTATCAACGAATCACACCATATTCAGATACGTGTTTCGAAGACCTAATACAGAAGTACAATCTAATCTCAGATTTATTTCGAGCATACTCTATAAAACAACTATTGTTCTTACACAAGTCTATCTGTGTAGCATATGCGTATACGCTTGAAGGCTGACTGGCGGTGCGTACAGAAGGAAGATTGGTTGAATTACAGCAATCGTCCAGAGACACATTTGCAAGGTCTACTGCTAGGACTAACAATTACCCTTGCTATTCGTCAACAGTGTAACTATAAAGTACTGTTTAAAGACGTATTTTTTTTTTGAAAGGCTCGGCAGGTCTGAGTGACGCAGGAATGATGCCCCCAAAATAAATTATTGCTTCAGCGCGAGCACCATACTCAGAGCTGCGAGAATACCCATCAAGACCACTGCCAAAACAGCTGCAGCCAAGGGAATCAGCGGCGGGCGGACAGCCTTGCGCGACATGGTCTGTATTTCCATTTCCAGGCGTTCAGCCAGCTTCTCCTTGGAGAATTCTGCTATGACTCTCTCTCGGCCCTGGGTGCCCATCTCTTTTAGTCTTTGTTCATTATGGCCGTCTTCCAAAGCGAAGTGCATCACCTCAGTCCAGTCTTGGACCTTCCTGACGTCTCTCAGCCAACCCGTCTGACCGTCTACGACCGTCTCTGTGGGCCCACCCTCATTGGCCGCCAGGACTGGCGTACCAACGAGCATTGCCTCGAGAGGCACAATGCCAAAGTGCTCGTGTAGAGGGGTATACACGAGGAGCCGGGAGTTCGCTAGTAGATTGGCTTTGAGGGAGTTGGGAACGGAGTGGAGAAAGACGACCGAGATATCGTCTGGTATGCTCTGGGCGGCGGTGACCGTTTTGGCGGTAGCATGTTTGATTTGGAGCGAATCGGCGAGTTCGCACAGTTCGGTATATGTGCTGACGTTCTCTGGCACTCGTGCATCATACCCACCCGCGATGACCAGTCGCGAATGCTCGCGCTCTATGGGCGACAGTCCTGCGAATGCGCGAATAGCAAGGGCAACGTCCTTCTTTTTCTCAAAGCGATTGATGCTCAGCAGCACCTTCTTGTCCTTCCATAGTGGCGCATCCTGGCCAACAGGCTCGCTGGGGTTTGTGTCGACGCATGGGTACACGACGCCAGGCTCGCGGGTTCTAAGACCGGGAAAGGCCTCGGCGAATATGCTCTTTGTGAAGTTGCTGTTGACTACGATGGTGTTGCTGCAGCCAGTACTCCAGCTCTCGAGCCAATCAAAGGGGGCGCGATACAGCGCCTTCAGCAGTCCGCCCTTTTTGGCGAGCAGCTTGTCTGGGAAATGGCAGTAGAAGATGACGCGTGGACGAGGCTGCAGCAGCCGCAGGAGGGGAATGCCCGCACTAAGCTGGTCGACAAAGAAGGCCGAAGGAGCCAGCTGTTGCAACTCTTCCGACAGCAAGGCAATTTGCAATATCAGATGCACCTGGCGCAGAATGGCGCAGAGGATGGCGAAGCGACCAAAGATGGCGGCGGGGACGATGGTGTTGCCGCGCACTCGCACGTCGAGGGTTCCTTTGCGTCAGGGTCAGGTCTCAGCTGCTTGGGCCATGCATGAGCGGTGCGTGGTCGACGTTGTTGTAGTAGAGGCTTACCGTCGCGGGCCTCGTCGAAGCAGTGCTGCGGGTCGCAATGCGATGTGAAGACGGTGACCTTGTGGCCGCGGCTCTGCAGTCCAACCGCGGCATCGATGACCAGACGCTCAGCTCCGCCGATGCCCAGATCCGGGTGAAAGAAGACAACGCGCTGCTTCTTCTCTGCCATGGTATCGGGATGCGTCTTCTGGCGTATGGCTCCGCTACGTGGTGCCTTTGATGGGACCAAGCACCGCGCCTGTGACGCCTTTCCGCTTCTGGCCTAGCGCCAGTGCTGCACATGATGTACTGCGACACAATCATCCAACATCTGCTACTGCCACCCGACACAGGCACATATGTCCACATGTCATCCTGTCCTGCAGAGTCACCGAACAAAACCTCTTCAGCGAAGTAATCTCGCTGCAAATTCACGGCTTCCAGCATGCCGGCGGCAAGGTAGCAGCACTACCGCCTCCGCCACCACCATCATCAGCAAGAACACCGACGAGCACAACATTGACAAGAAAACCACATCACCGCCGCCACCACAGCCGCCAATATGGGGCAAGGGTTCTCGTTAACTACACTCTCGGCGGGCTCCGCCAACATCGATGTTCCAGAGCTGGCTGACCTACAGTATGAAAAGTCATTGGGTGCCGCCCGGTTCATGAAAGCCGTGAGAGCGCGGCACAAAGATGGCCTCGTCGTGGCTCGGGTGGTCATGAAACCATACGCACAGTTTGATTTTCACGACCATGTCAAGCGGCTGCTCCGTGAGTCGTCTCTGCATGTGCCCGTCCCTGACGAAAGACGCTAATAAGGTCCAGATGAACGTAAGGTGCTTGCCGACGTGCCAAATACGGTAGCGTATCATCGTGTCATCGAGACCGCTGCCTGCGGTTACTTGGTTCGCCAGTACATCCATAGTTCTCTGTACGACCGCCTAAGGTAAGTTTCACTGGTTCCATCACTTCTGCAACTCGCTGATTCCGCCGTAGTACTCGGCCTTTCTTAGAGGATATTGAAAAGAAATGGTTATCATTTCAGCTTCTTTGCGCTGTGCGGGACTGCCATGCCAGAAACATCTTTCACGGTGACATCAAGACTGAGAATGTTTTGGTTACGTCCTGGAACTGGTTGTACTTGGCCGATTTCTCCTCGTCATACAAGCCAGCACATTTACCAGAAGATAACCCAGCGGACTTCTCCTTCTACTTCGACCTGTCGGGTCGCCGAACGTGCTACTTGGCGCCCGAGAGATTTCTGGCTACTGGCCAGCAACCTGAAGGCGAAGGCGATGTCAACTGGGCCATGGACATCTTCAGCGTAGGCTGTGTGATCGCTGAATTGTTCCTTGAAGCACCCATCTTCTCGCTTAGCCAACTCTTCAAGTACCGACAAGGCGAATACAACCCCGAACACTCCCATCTCAGCAAGATTCAGGATCCAAGTATACGGGAACTTATTCTGCACATGATTCAGGTAGACCCCAATTCGCGGATGACTGCAGAAGACTACCTTACGCACTGGAAAGGCAAGGTGTTCCCCACCTACTTTTATGGCTTCCTCCAACAATACATGTACTCAATAACCGATCCATCCTCGGGTCGAAAGCCCGTCACAAGTGGCTCGGAACATCTTGGTGAGCCAGATGAGCGCATAGACCGGATCTTCAGTGACTACGACAAAATCTCCCACTTACTTTCAAACGAAGATGACAAGGAGCTTAGTAGGCCTGAATGTTTGCCTCCCGGACCAAATGCAAAGCCCTTTCCGCTTTTTGTGAACATACCAAACTATCAACACCAGGCTTCTCCAGCACGGAGCCTCGCTGTCGATGACGGCAATCTCATTTTTCTGACCATCGTCGTGTCCTGCCTACGGGGTACTGCGAGGGCTTCAGCCCGCGTTCGAGGCCTGGAACTCCTTTTGGCGTTTTCGGAACGATTGACAGATGAAGCCAAGCTTGACCGTGTGATACCCTACGTGGCTCAACTACTAGCTGACAAGTCGGAGCAAGTCAAAATTGCTGCTTTGCGTTCGTTGACGCAAATTCTGGCAATGGTACAGGTCGTCTCTCCTATCAACGCTTATATCTTTCCCGAGTATGTTCTTCCTCGACTAGAAGCATATCTGCCAGATACTTCTGGCAAAGTTGGGCCCCTCGTCCGTATGCAGTATGCGCTCTGCATTGGTACTCTAGCCACCACTGCAGCTAAGTACCTTGACATGATTCAAGCACTGCGCGCAGAAGGATCTCTGCCTGCTGCAGACCCAGAAACCGAAGAGGGCATGTCTTCGTCTGCACATCGGAATCAGTTTGATTCGGACCGTCGAATTCTGGTCGAAGCTTTTGAGAAGCATACCAAATCCCTTCTCACAGACGCCGATGCTTCCGTACGTCGAGCCATGCTTCGATCTGTCTCTGATCTGTGTGTCTTCTTTGGTAGTGCCAGAGCAAACGACGTGGTCCTCAGTCATTTGAACACATACCTGAACGATCCAGATTGGATGCTAAAATGCGCATTTTTCGAAAGTATCGTTGGCGTTGCTGTTTTTGTTGGTGGCGCCAGTCTGGAAGGATATATTCTACCACTCATGGTCCAGGCCTTGACAGATCCAGAAGAGTTCGTAGTAGAAAAAGTCATTCGGTCACTGTCCTCAATGGCCCAGCTTGGTTTGCTCCAGCGCTCCAAGACATGGGAGTTAGTGGACATTCTTGCAAGGCTCACGATGCATCCAAACCTCTGGATACGGGAAGCTGCTGCGCAATTCGTTTCTGCTGCGTCAAGGTATCTATCCGTGGCTGATACACACAGTATTCTAGTTAATCTTATCCGCCCATACCTCAAGGTTGTTCCTGCAGAGTTCTCGGAATTGCGCATCTTGGAATCACTGAAGAGCCCCGTGTCGCGGCTGTTATTGGAGATGGCGTCCAACTGGGCATTGCAAGCCCAAAACGGACAGTTCTGGTCGGTGGCTAAGCAACAACAAACGTTTACATTCGGGTCATCCGACGATAGCCTACCAACTATTTCCGGCCGAGAATTAGACCAAAAGGTCTTGCAACGGCTGCCAAAGAATGAAGAGGATGATTTGTGGTTGCAAAAGCTTCGCAACGCGGGAATGACCTCAGACGATGATTTCAAGCTTGTGGCGCTTAGGGAGTTCATATGGCGAGTGAGCCATCGGCGGCGCTCTGACAGCCTTTCCACTCCCACTACGAGATTCAACAGTATAGTAACGCTGAAAGATCTTGGTGTCAAAGCCCAGACTGTATTGTTTGACGAGGATGTTCGCCGGATTATGGAGCAAACAAAGAAGGCCAATCCTCCAGAAGAACACCTGCCGCCCCGCACAATCAAAGATGCTCTTTTGGATGCGTCAACTACGGAAGCTGACGGGTTGAGCGACCGAATGCCGCGTTTCGAAAGTCAAGCTGGGCGGTTGGTCCGCGAAGAAAGGGGCATTACAATTCCGTCCCGGTCAAGACCGCATCCGCCTTCTACCGATCAACAGTCGCCGTCTTCCGGAGGCGAGATGCGGAGAGATTCTTTACGCGCTTCGAGGACATCTCTTTCGCCTTCAGGCTCACTCGGATCTGGTGATCCATCTACCAGTCTTCGGCATCGCAACAGTGCATTAGGGCTACTCGGGAAAGGAGAGAATAAGGCCCTGGCAGAGATTGGCACAACTTCGGCCAACGTTTTGGGAAAGGTTGATGGTTCTCATGTACGAGACTCATCTTTACCTCGACAGCCAAAATCACCACTTTCCGTTGACAGAATTGACAGAAGTCCGTTGCGACTCCGTTTTCGAAACGCACATAACTACACGGGTAATGATCCAGCAATACTAAAGCTATTGGACTCAATGCTCCTAGAGCGCTTCCCAACCGATGAGCTTGAGTTTGGACCTCTTATCCAACAACCCATCCGACGACAACCCATCAAGCACAAGGATGCGCATCGATTGCCAGCAGGTACTCCCTGGAGGCCAGAAGGCACACTAGTTGCAAGCTTTGGAGAGCACACAGCGGCCGTGACGCGGATATTGGTTTCGCCCGACCAGGGGTTTTTCATCAGCGGATCTGATGACGGTTGCGTGAAGATTTGGGATACATCCCGTCTTGAACGCAACATTACTCGTCGATCTCGGCAGACCTACAGGTTGGGCGAAGATGTCAAAGTCACAAGCTTAGTCTTCGTTGAGTCCACCTATTCATTCGTTGCAACAGGCAATGACGGAAGTGTGCACGTGGTACGCATAGACTACCTGCAGAACCAAGAGGGCAACGCCAAATTTGGCAGGCCCCGACTCCTTCGCGAATACCAGCTTCCCAAAGGAGATTGTGCCATCTGGTCGGAACACTACAATGGAGATAACAGGTCCGTTCTTTTGTTAGCCACCAATACATCAAAGATCATTGCACTCGACCTGAGGACCATGGAGCTGCTATATACTCTCAACAATCCACTCGACCACGGAACACCGACTTGCTTTTGTGTTGACCGAAAAGCGCATTGGCTGCTACTGGGAACATCACATGGTGTGCTCGACCTATGGGATCTTCGGTTCAAGCTACGTCTCAAGGCCTGGGTTTGCCATGGTGCATCACCAATCCACAGACTCTACCAAGTCTTTCTACCCAAGGCGAAGAAAACCAGACTATATATTGCTGGTGGTACTGGTCAAGGTGAAGTAACAGTATGGGATTTCGAGAAGCATATCTGCAAAGAGGTGTATCGCACGGGCTTATGTAAAGACATTGGCATCAAGAGTACGACACTGATAGATCTTGACGAAGAAAAACCAGGAGGAATGCTTGGTCGCTTTGCTACTAGCGTCGAGCCCACGGCCAGCTCAACGGCAGATCGGGATGTACGCGCTATCGCAGTCCATACACAGACCATTGACGACAAGGGCGAGTCAAAGCATACATTTCTACTCACTGCAGGTTCAGATTGGAAAGTTCGCTATTGGGACACTAACCGAGCGGAATCTTCGCTTGTAGTCAGCGGGCTCGAAGCTGACGAAGGAAAACCTCACTATGCTGTCACTCAACCGAGCCCAGATACAGTTGTTGTTACAGAGCAACTGCAACCAAGCGCGAACCAGAATGGGAACGGAAGAGATAGCAGGGTAACTCAGTCAAGCAAGAAGATGGCGGGCAAATCATCGAGATCAGGTGCAATTGCTTTACAGCAACAGTACCTTCTCAAAAGCCATGTCGATTGTATTTTAGATGTGGCACTGATCGAGCAGCCGTATGGGATGGTCATCTCAGCGGACCGATCGGGCGTTATCAACCTGTTCATGTAGAGACCCCTTACAATCGGAAGACGGAACCACTGGACATATCCCGGTAGAGGCGTGGATAATGAATTATACTGCTCAGCGAAGATACATGCTACCTTTGGCTGATCAAGTAACGGCCGTCTTTACTCTCTTTCTGTAGCACTTAATGCGATCTCTTCCTCGTGGAGCCTTACTCTACAACCTTACAATTCCACTTCGACAGTTGGTCCTACATATGTCTTCCTGCCGTATATGAAATACCACAACATAGCTAATAGTACTGTGCCGCCAAACGTGACTGAGCTAAAGTTCATGGATTCTGCATTAACCTTGACCGATGCTGGCCAGAATGAGAAGAACCACATGACGATCAGGTACACGCAAGCGAATAGATTGTTCGCTGTGCCTAATGCTCCGGGAACTTTCCAAGGCCCCCATCGTAATGTCTCTGGACCGACCACTGTAGCGCGTTCGTTATACGGGTCAATGCCCTGGAATCATCGCCAGAGAAGCAGGGAGCAAATAATGAAGTATGAGGCATAAAGGCCGCCAATACTGAGATTGACAATATTGCTGAAGGCCACGTACGAGCCAAGCGCGATGGTAGACAGAAGCATGGAGATGACGGCAGTGATGATGATCGTGTTGACAGGTATTCGGGTTCGAGGGTGGAGCTATGTCAATATTAGTGTTTAGAGACCTACTTGTGAAGACAAATACCTTGGTGACTTGAGTTGCGAACGGTACGGCATTGTCTCTCGCAAAAGACCACAGCTGTCGGGAGGTTGCAGCCATGAGACTGACCAGACAGCAAACACCAAGAGCCCACATGATGAGAGCCATAGCTGCTGCCCCGGCAGCAGACCCTGTACCCTTCAAGAATACATACAGGTAAGCATACCCAAACGTTGCCGAAGATTCCACGACATCATCCAGGTTTCCAAGGCAGAAGAGATATGCAACCAACATTGCGAGTCCCAGAGTGCCATTTAGCAACACGCTGATCTGGATGACTCTTGGAACCACTCTGGTCGCATTCTTGACTTCTTCGGCCATCTAGATCGTAGTTAGCGAGCCGGTCGAGGGTCTGTGTGGTCATGACTTACATGAACGCACGAGTCAACGCCTTAGCATGTTAGCAACTATGACTTGACTGCTAGTTCATACAGCGTTTCATTGCTTACCAATAAGAGCAAAGACAGAGGATGGCAGTCCAACCATAAAAGAGAGTGCCTGAGTCGACCTATTGCAGCGATATCACAATGTCAGTATACTTCGCGTGCAGGATACCGATTTGAGATACTGACCAGCCTCCAGAGTTTACAAACGTAGTGAAAATCGAAGCGTCGCTATGGTCGGAAAGATATACCAAAGGAACCATGATGGCGAAGAATCCCAAGACATGTATGATTAGAATCAAGCCTTCGAAATAGGCTAGCGTCTTGCTACCGACAGTGTTTATGGTGACTGAGAAGACGAGCAACGCCCACCCAAGCAGCATGGCTTGATAGGGTTTCGGAGAGTAATCCGATTTCACCAGCAACACGGTACTTTGGAGGATAGTTCCACCCAGGTAGGCGGAGGAGGCGGTGGTCGCTTGCCAGCCGATCAATGTCACCCATCCAGTGATGAAACTGAGGAATTTGCTGTATGATCTCGGAGCTAACATGGCTACCCAACTGCAGGTATGTGAGCAAATATCTTGATCAAGTGCCAGTGAGAGCGCATACTGATACTGGCCACCTGCTGTAGGGGCCATGGAAGATAATTCCGATAAGACCGTGTAGATTGAGATGGATCCAATCCAGATGAGTAGGTACCCCCAGAAAACACCCGCAGGACCGCCATTCAACAGACTGGGCGTAGATACTCTGAAATGTGGTAAGCAAGGTGCTTTTTCACTTTGTATGGCTTCCTGAATCATCTTACTGCAAAATACCCTCCCAAGTTACCAATACCGTACAAGAGAATCCGAGAATTTGCATGAAGCCAAAGTTGCGCTTCAGTACCGGTTTCTTGCCCAATCGCATGAGGTCCCTGTCATCTCGACTGTAGACTTCAACCGTAGAGCTGAAAGTTTCTGGGTTTTTCTGGGTCTCAAGCTCCATCGTTGCGGCGTGGTGGAGTGATGGAAAGGGCCCGTGTTGGCGATGCCTGAGAGGACTGACGTCTTATAAGCTCATTTAAGGTGGCGCTGGCATCCAGCAGTGTCCTAGGATTGCTTACGCGAAATTGGTCTAGATGGTTCACTAAAAGCGTATCATGCAAAGTCTCACAGCAACTCCTGCCTCAGGACATATTAGAATGTGCGGGCCTGATCTCGTTGAGGATACAAAGCGTGAATACTATCCATATGTCTGATTCTCTTCCGGGTCTTTCTTCGCATGCTGGGCTGTATAATGAGATATGCTCACGCTGGAATTATTATACTTTCAGCTGTTCCGTTCACTACCGAGAGCGCACAAGAGTTGCCTGTGCCGCTTGCTTCTGTGCCACCCTCAAGCATTCCGCGGCGTAGGGTGATCATTCCTCGATTAGCATTGTGCAGGGGTAGAAACCCAAGTATTGAACGTTTAAATATGTCGCATCAATGTACCATTCTGTCGGGAACCTCAACGAATTCTCAACATGTCGATTAGCAGTCATTCGCTCAAAGGTTGTGCCGGGGAGCAAACTCCAGATACTTCAAATGACCTCGATTCTTTATCACAATGGGGCATACACATACGGCCTCTTTTTCCTTCTCACCGGCGGGTTAACGCTTATCTTTGACGAAAGTTTCCTGCGCGAGTTTCTGGGTGATCAAATACAGTATATAAGCCGGTGGGATCTTCCCGTTGATGCAAGGTGACATGTCGCTTAAGTGTGGTTGTGGCGTATACACAGGCTTGCGCGGCAACGCTACTGTAATAGGTACTTCCCTTTGCATCCACGAGAACGCGCTTAATGCCCCCTCTACGCCGAAGCATGTATGGGATTCGAATTCGAATCTGTGCATACACTGATGCAGTTGAGTGCGCAGCAACAGTAGCATGAATCATGTAATTGGCGAGCGTGTTGGGTCATGATACAACAATAATTTCCACATGGACTGATGAGATGAGCATAGGGGATTTATGATCCCTTGGCTCGATTGAAATGATATATAAAACCTCCTTCTTTGATACAAATAACCAGGGCAATGATGATTTTACAGCATCGCACCACCACTATGGATAATGCAAAACGTCCTGCATTTCGCGAAGGTCGTGCGGCGCCGTTAATCCAGATCCTCGCATGGCTCTTTCTTGCCTTCTCGACACTGTCCATTATCGCCCATTTTGCAACGAAGAAGTTCCTGTCCAGACCTTTCATAAAAGCCGATTTCATATTATTAGCAGCGCTAGTAAGTAAATGGACTATAATGTGATACGCACACGTTTGACTTGTCTTCTTGCAGCTTTTGGCTATAGGCCAGACAGTCACTTTTCTTTGCCGTGCTGGTCAAGCCATCGGTAATTCTCAAGCTGATTTATCGGGAGAGACAATAATGCAAGCTTGGAAAGTAAGCAAATCACCCAACGCATGAAACACCATTTTAAAAGCTATAGGCTTTTTACATTGGAGAGCTTCTCTCTATACTCACCATTGTTGCGGCAAAGGGTGTTTTACTCATTCCTTTCACGACAATAACACCTGTAGTCAAGCATCGAATCAACATGTATACCACATGTGTAGTCACTGTATTGTGGGGATTAAGCGCCGTACTTCTCATCGCGTTTCAGTGTCCATCTCCGCAGAGATGGGATATCACAAACTCAGAATGTATAGATATTGTGAGCCGTGCTCTTGGTGAAGTCATATCTTTCCCAACTGATCGAATCCAGAGAGCGGTCCGAACATACAACGCCACCATGAACATCATGACTGATCTCGCGCTCGCCACTGTCCCGACATTAATGGTTATTCCACTTCAGATCAATTCCAGGACACGGCTTATCCTTCTAGCAGGATTCTGGTCTCGTTTAATGTATGTATCACTATTCTCGTCTTGAATTTTGACAGGATGATTACTGACAACCTAATGCAAAGCGTTGTGATAGCGTCAGTGGTGCAAATCGTGTTCATTCGCACTCTTTTTACTTATAACGATCTTCTCTATTGCATCTGGCCTGTTGTTGTCTGTGGACAGATAGTTCAAGTTACAAGTATCATGACGTCCACGATTCCATTCCTGAAGCCGTTCCTCCTTAGTCTGGAGTCGAGCTTAGCTCTGAGTGCCAATTCTACGGTTCGCGCCACCACCACGACTACCTATACATCAGCGGGCAAGGCAGTTCATGTATTGAGTTACATTAGCATTGATACTCAGCAGAGCTACACGGCGAGAGCAGATAAGCAAAATAGCATCTGGGTAAGGACGGATTTTCAGGTGCAGGGAGAGCCTAGTTTAGAATTACCGAAATTAGGAAGAGATTAAGAAGGAATCTATATATTATACTTTTTTCTTTCTTTTTGCTACAGAACCTGAAAAGACATAACCATTTAAGTTGACTTTCTCAGCTAAGACAAGCTATATAGTACCTGTTCATTTGAATTTTCCTACGTCTCTTCTACTTCTTCGGATCCCCTCCATCCTTTCGGGTCTCGTTATTAACATCTTGCTGGGCTATAAAAGCATCGCGAAATACATCCGAAAGCCGAGACATGGTCATTTGACTTTAGCGAAAAAAGCATAGGTCCATTAACATCAGGCAACCGATACTCGGTTATTGAACTCAAGTAGGGACTAGCAGTAAGTATCAATGATTGGCCTATACTTTCCCGCAGCCTTTGTTTTTGTGTAAAGATGTTTCTAACGGAAACTATCAGGACAGAGTAGCCACAGCAAGTAAGTGTGCGGAATCCAGTCGCTGTCCGCGCCTTGATTTTAAACAGCGTTTTTTTACAGGGCAGGGTTTATATATCCAAATCTCATTGGCAATAGAGCAACTTTTTGTGCACGTACTAGACAACGAGAGAATCACGAAGATGGATATGCATGCGAGGCAATGATTCGTAGATGAAAAGCTTCAAAGAACAGCTTAGACCACGTTGCGGAACCCCATTGCCACACCGGAAGCATTGTCTGCTTAGGGATTCGGTTGCGCAGATCCCAGCGAGTCGATCCCTTACTGCAGTGAATTATTGGTACGAGGCGTAAGAAGTAAAATACAGAAAACTCAGAACATAAAAATGGCATCTTCCGGAGCTCGTGAATTATTTCAAATTAAAATCAGTTATCTTCATCACCGATTTGGGAACATTTCAAACATACAAAATGGGTGTCAATTGGATATTTGTTGTTTCCAGTCTTTGTGCCATTGGCTACGCCCAGGGCACACAGCATGTACTCGGCTCGCCCAGCTCACTCAGTTTATCTGGGAACTCGTACCAGTGCCAGAATGGTAAGTAAGACTCCACAGCAATGACACTACATATATCATAGAGCCAAATCCAAGAACCTTAGGTGTAACACCCTCAGTGGTCTGCACAGACTCGTCGCAAGATAACCACAACTGCTCCTGCACGTGTACGAACGGTATTATCTTCGAACAACCTCTTGAGTCCTCACTTCAGGGCAGTGGGTGCAGCGACACTTCTCTCTTCGAATGTCAGGCAGACAAGGACAACTGCCTTGGGCGCGAGCAAGGCTTGACGACTGAGCTGCAACAGCGAGACGAAGACGTGGCCGGCGGGAAGAGGAATTCAGGGCCGATCTGGAGCAGAAAGAGCAACAAAGTCTCAAGCAGGAAGAAGAGCTCAAGGCCGAACTCGCGCATAAAGACGATGAATATCTCCAGCGGGAACAGGATGCCAAAATTTTATACCACAAGAGCGAAAAACACTCATCAACTATCATGGCTGCTACGTGCGCGATAGTAAAAAGCCTAATTCTGGAATATTCACAGACCAGACGAGGAGTTATTCGAGAATGTCGCTCCACGTGTGCGAATACATCTGCCAGGATTACGCCTTTTTCGCTGTTGGGGGCACCACTTGTTGGTGTGGGAAGATCATGACCCTTCCGCAGGTTGCTATCAGCAGTCAGGAGTGTAATTACAAGTGCAGTGGCGATCCTAGTCAAAAGTGTGGCGGTTTGGACAGATCAAGTTGGTACTCTAAAAAAGTCTAAAGCAACTAGAATATACACATTATCCGTGCAAGTCCAAGTATTTTGAGATGTGGAAATTGCCACATATCACTATACCAGTTATTTGTTTGGACAATACTTTTACTATAATCGTACAAAACAATCTTCATGCATCCCATGATCCTACAACTAAACAAGACATACAAAACATAAGCACTATTCTCATTCCAGCCTACGTCAAAGCGAAACAAAAAAGACCGCAGTACATCCGTAGATAAGAAAAAGCTCATGTGAAGAAGCCAAGGCCAAAAAAGCACGCTAGGATTGTATATCAAGCCTTAGCTATAAGCAGGGGTATTCCAACATCACAGAGCTATTGATTACATGAGGTCAACACTTCATAAATCATAAAGGCCGAAAGAAAAAGGAAAAGGAAAAGGAACATGGGCCGCATGCGTAAGGAACAGAGGAGGAAGGAGATGAAAAAAGGCAGTTTTTTTTTCTCACTCAATTCTCACACTCTTTGTGCTTTTCGCCAGCGCCACATCAATCAGCGTGTCCTGCATGGCGTTGAGCAGTTTGCCAGCTGTTTCCTTGTCCCAGTAGTTCTGGTTGTAGCATACGCTGAGGACTAACTGGCCGTCCCACACCCAAGTGTGCACCATCATGCGCAGCGTCAGGGTCTCGGCGCCAAGCCAGAAGTCGTCGACGGTGACGAGGCCGTCGCCAACGTTTCTGCAGATCTTGTCGTCGATGGTGCCGAGGAAGGCAAAGCGAGGTTGCAGTTGGCCGTCTGTCTCGCCGTTCTTGCCGAGCTCGGGGGCTGTGAGCCGGTCTTCGAGGAGCTTGTGGTAGTAGGGTGAGGATTCCAGGTAAGGAGCGTAACCGGTGGCATAGACGGGGGCAAGTTGCGAGTAGTATGAGTGAAAGTCGGTCTGTGGGGAGACGGTTACCTCGGTGGTGATGACGCTGGTGTAACTGGTTGGCGAGTTCTCGGGAGCCTCGCCCTTGGGGATCAAGGTACGGAGGTTGTAGTGGAACGAGGCCATAAAGCTGCGAGCTTCGTTGGCTGGGGCGAGCTTGACTACGGCGCTGATCAGGGCCGCATGCAACGTCACATGCAGGCCGAGCGCGGCAGTGTCGCAGTAGTCGGTGATTGCTTTTGTGTCGCGCTTGGATAACTTGATAAAATGTCTCTGTGTGTATCCTGGCTTCGGGGCTTTGACCTTGGGCTTCAATTCCAGAGCCGGCTTGTGCGGTTCAAGCGCAGCGAGACGGCTCTCGGCTTGTGCTTCAATGGCTGGTGTCTTCACGTGCTTGATGCGAAGAGTCGATTCCATGCTGGGAGTCAAGTTTTTGGCACACCCGCCAAAGACGAGGTCGGGATTCATGTTGGCGAGAGACTCGACAAGATGATTGAGGCAGAAGATTGCGCCGCGGGCGTCGACGCGATAGTGCGGAGACCAGATCATGACCTCGGATGTGTCACGCAGGAAGTAGCACATCATCTGCTCGTTCCTTGGGATGCGGCCCAGCAGTTCGTCGACTGTTTTGCCCTCGATGACGGAAAAGGTGGCCGAGACCCACAGGGCGATGGAATTGGCGTCTCCAATGCGGTAGACATAGTTGCCGTTGTGTGGGAAAGCGGCAATCTCAGGATGATTATAGCGAACCTGTTTCCATGCAATCTCGAGATGAGCAGCAGGGTCCTTGATACTGGGGTGGAATTTGAGCTTGGCAACGGCGTTCTTGGCCCAGTTATCACGGCCAATCGCATTGGGCACATTGCGGGTGAGTATGTTGATCTTTTCCAAGTAGCTCTGCGGGCGCTCCCAGCGCCCTGGGCGCGTCTCTTTCCAGGCGCAGTCGATCATATTAGCGGGGGGAGGAGGTGGGGTAAATAAAAAAGATGGCTGTGTGGATGGAGACTCGATATCAAAGTGTAAGATGGGCTTTTGGTGCACCTGCATGTCAGGGCATGTGGAGGTGAAGTAGACACTAAATAGTCATTGTTTACGTGAGAAATCGAACCATTGTACTAGCAAGGCCCTGTATAAAACGCGTGTTATGTCACAGAATGTACTAGGGAGCCTAGATTGGACGTCAGCTAAGGCGAGGTGAAGGTGGGGGGTCATTGCTGCAGCCATCAAGTCCACTCGCTTGAAACACGAACGGTTCGTTTCGTGGAAATATTGCCAGGCGTCCATAGCAGAGACATGTGTACGTGAGCATCTCAGCGTGGCGTACCTAGAAAAGGTTCAGGTATTGGGGGCCGCGGCGGCTGGCCAAGCACACAAAAGTCACTTGTGGACTACCTAGAAGCGCCTGGATCGTGGTCTGCCCTCGCCATGGCTTCTCTCTTTTCCGTTCCTGGTGGGCAACGGGAGCCGCGGCGCAAGGTAATACATAGGGGCCGACGCGCAATCTAGTCCGTCTTCAACGGGAGCTAAGGTATGAGAAAGTGGGAATCGATCGATCGGCAATTGCCGTCCGTCTCGATCATGACAGGCTGGGGTACTTAGAACGGGCGCAAAGCGCGCTCTCAGCAAAGTCAGAAGCCCATGTGCATTCCGGTAAGTATGCCAGCAACACTGGACAAGTCGCTGAATTTTACCACCAAGGCTCCAGGCAATGCTCTTTGCGAGCAAAAGAAAATCGCTCAATAAACAAGCTGCAGGTTCGGCGGTTCTGTCATCGGTGCGCTGGCCGGAACATCCGCCATGTCCATAACAGGCCCGGGGGATACTTTTGGTGCAGGGGTCAGCCGGCGGAAGCGCTAGCACTTGCATCCGTCAGTCGGGGGAATGAGAGGCCTGTTCAGAGCCTATCGACCAGGAGCTCAAGACGCCGACTGCATGGTAGATTCACCGACGTTGTTGTTTTCTTTTCCGGGACGAATGGCCGCCATGCAAGCCGCAACTGCATCTCCCCCAATGACTGTTTCTTTTGAGCTCTCCGCGGCGGGCGTGGTCGACATTGCTTTTTCTTTGTTCAGCCTCAGCTCTGGCGTCGTGAGGGTATCGGGGGAGGGCCTCGACGTTGAAGATGGCTGCTTTGTTCGTATTCGACGTACTCAGCGGGCGGGCCAGACACTCGGGTTGGCCGGACGCTCGGGTCGGCCGGACGCCTTTGCCAAGCCCCTACCAAAACCACTGCCCCTTTCCGTGTTTCAACACCAACAACACCTGCACCCGTCCAACTGCCATACAGCCTGCCCTTTAGCCTGTGGCACAAGGTGCAACCCTCCCAAAGCGACACGCTGCAGCTATACACAGCGTCTCTTATACAACACTAAGCCATCCATGCGCCCGACAGCCCTTATCAATAGACGACTAGCCTGCATGAGAGAATCTAATCAAGCTCAAGAAGGAAATGCTTGCTAAGCATATACCGGGGCTTATAACACGTCAATTTCCCCCTGGGTCCGCATTCGTACCCGGTGTATCCAATTCCCGGCGCGCGGAGCGGCAATAGGGCCAGGTCGGGGTAAACTTGCCTTGTACGTTCAATATGGGGCGGAGATTAATAGTGGGAGAAAGCTGCCAGGGTTGAACAGGTTTGATGTCGGGCGGGAGGCCAACTGATACATAGCAGACCGCACCAAGGTCCCGTTGCACATGCCTTGTTCAGCTTGTTGAGAACCCTGTGACAATTCAGAATTATCGAGGCCAAGCCGCGGGCACTTGAACTATTGGCCCTTCTGGTAGATCATACCTAAGAAGAAACATTGCTGGGAACCTCTAACAAACCATTGCTGCACTCTCCGCAAAGTCCCGGGGATCATCGTCCCGGAGATCATCATCCGACATCTGCAGCAACCACACGGAAGCAGAGGGTGCACCGAGTAAGTCCATCTGCAGGCGATCCGGGGCCGACGTGTGCTCGTCAGCATTGTGTAATATGCTGCCATGGTGACATTTGCGCGTCGTACGTGTTGCAAGAGGCTGTACAGCAACACAGCCTTCATCCTCATGACTCGATGATTGAACCCGTCACGTCAACAGTCGATCCACTCCACAACTTCCTCCCTCTTCCTCTTCCCCAGTAGCCGCTGGTTGCCCCTAACCTGCTTCCTGCCCACGCCCTTCGATACACCCATTCTCCTTCGCTTCTGCTTGCTCACCTCTACTGCAACCATCTTTCGCAGCCTCACCCTCTTCACCTTCTCAATGCTATCACACAGCTCGGAAAGCCCCTCTATCATATCGTCACCCAGCGCCAGGCTCTTTTCCTTGGCCCTCGCAAACAAGTCGTCGATTTGACGCTGAACATCTTCAATAGTGTCCTCTTTCAATATAGACATGCTAGCCTTGTGTTCCTCCACCTCTTCCACCATCTCCGCCGTCTCTTGTGCTCGCACATCGTACACGTAGTCCTGAAACCCAAGAAGCTTCTTGTCAAGAAGTTGCTCGAAATGTTGCATTTGGTCGGCTTGGTATTGTTGGAATTGCAAGGTGAGGTGGAACCGGAGGTGCGAAAGCAATGTCCCGCCCAGCGATGTCAGCGGTGGCAGTCCTGGACATCTGTCGCCATCACGATCCATGAATTTAGTTGAGGAAGTAGGAGAGCTGGCATTGGACTTGGTTGTGCTGGCGACCGGATTTTGGATGGCGGCCCGGATGGCGGCCGGGAGGGCTTCTTTGAGATACAAAGGTAATTGTTGGCTGACTGCAGCGTTGATGGCCTCAGCCTGATAGTCAACTGGAGATGCGGCTTGCCCAAAAGCTTTTTCCAAAGCATAAGCTGCAGCCGGACTCAAGGGCACCGTCTTCTCAGAATTCGGCGATCCGGTAGGCGATTCAATCAGGAAGCGTTTCGGTGACTGACTTGACTGCTTACAAGAATCATCATAAGGAGGCGGCGCGGAGATAGCGTCAATGGGACCCAAGACCTCCCAGCTTGCCCTCCTCAGCCCTTGTTCAGTGAGTGATCTGGCGATGGGATAGCCGGTCAGACCCCTTGCGACCTTGCTGAAGGCCTTGAACATGCCTTTATGTTCTTTGCGCAGATGCTTAAAATCAAAGACAATGTGAATTGTGGTTGCCTTGGCCAGCTCTACAAAGTGACCGAAAGAAGACTCGGACCCAGGCTGGGGATGAAAAGATAGAGCGCCTGGACACCAGAGAGGACATGGCTGCTCCACGCTTAGCGAGAGAGTTTTGATGTCCCAATGCTTATTGTCCTTGTTTCGCAAGAGCTCATCCAGCTGGGGTCGCTGGACATGGCTGTTACCACTGGTCAGGCTGACGGTGCCTGGCAGCAGCCTGTCCGCATCGTACTGCAAAACAAAATATTGTGTATCATGAGTTGTGGGGATTTTGACTACAAGTAAGACAGTTGCCTGCTTCAAAGCGCCGTCACACCTGAAGACTAGGGAGCATTGGCACGGCGATAGGTTCGGTTCAGATAAGGCGAGCGCCCTGAAATCAAGATTCAAGTTCATCTTATTAGCTATCCAAAAAGTACCGCTAAACTCACCGAATCCCCCTTGCGAAATCTCAGCAAAGAAACAAGTCGATGCTGCGAGCGCGACAAGGGAACCCGCCCACCCAGGCTTTGGAGCAGCCTTGACTCTGTGTGCGCCGTGTCCACCGCCGACACTAGGTACGCGACCCTAGTGCTTGATCGAAAGCCCACCCCGCTGATGGCAGCCGATAGACGCGCAATGCGAAACAGAGTCGCCCACCTTTACCGCCAGCGGCCTTGTGAAGTTCGCAAGGATGATGGGTCTAAGTCAAGCACTCGATACGCGCAACGAGCGGAAGCGGGACAGATGAGCGTTCGGTTTATCGAGCGAATGTGTGTAGGTGTTGCGCAGGTAATGGGGGAGAAGTAGTCGAGAAGTTGAGGTTGAGGTTGAAGGTGGAGGTGAAGTTGAGGAGGCTCCGACGAGCGTGAACGCGCCATCGCGCCATCACGTTGGCTGTCTTGGCACGCTTGGACCAGTGACCGGCAGCTGATTGGTTCAACCCCACCTTTACAATGGTCCGTGCACGGCTTGTGCGCCTTCTTGCTTTGTGTGGTACGGGGCTGGGTGCAGGCACAGGTCTAGACCTTTTAGAAAATGTCCAGCCCCTTCATGACGTATCAATGAAACTTCCGACTCTCGTGGAGGGGACGATGCATCTACTTACGCAACATATCCGAGGATACTAAAACTATAATAACGTGAGGACGCGTAGTATACTAGGAGACCATAATCATTACTACAACCAGGAAATATCCCTTCTTTCATCACCAATGATACCTTTTTTTTACAATGTCCTGCGACCATCCAACGCATAAGGAGGAAGATAGCTCTCCATACTCTACAGCCACATAGTAAATCTCACATGACACGAAAGTGTCATTATACATACTACTACTCATAGAGAGATGGCATATTTCAGCCTCTTGTCGTGTCAACAGTCTGTAATGTCTAAGATTAGTTACATGTTTAATTTCAGCATGAAGATTTTCTTGAGATATCGCCTAGACTGAAAGAACATAGTATGTCACACATGAATAATGGTTTAGCAAGAACAAGAGGGAAAGCGGTCAGGGTATGGATGCGGAAGCAACGCAGGTGACGTCTCATAGGACAGTGACTCTAGGCAATCCCTACCTCAAAGGGCCAGCTACATTTCCACGAGGACTCAGTATTGCATGTCTACGCTTAGTATAGAAAAGCTAGTGTAGACTTCTAAAATTGAGCGCTACAAGTGGTACTAGTCAAGGACCTCAAATACCTAATGAAATTGGAAAGCTAGCCGTGAGATTTTGGATTGTGTTTTTCCCGGGTTGTTACATAATTTGTACAACTAGAAAAGGATATAATACAGATAGATAGACTTTGCTCAACAATCTCACTATTGCGATAGCTAACAGGGACAGCGTGCATTCATAACCCTCTCTTTCTTCTTCCTCTCTTTTCTCCCTCTTTCCTTTGTCTCCCATCCACTGTCGAGCTCCCTGGATGCGCCTCTCTCCACCGGGCCAAGGGACTGATTGTGAAATGCCATCCACACTCGTCCTGCAATCTGAAGATTCTGCTCATTTGGCGAATTTTCGTTGTTGCAGTGATTGGCGCATAATCGGCTGGAGCATAGAACTCGCGCTCTTCATCACCTCGAAGTGCGGGGCTGAGTCATGAGAAGAAGTACTTTGATTCCCGGAGACGTGAAACATCCCAATCGCCTTTCTTTGGGACCGGAGGGAAAGTCAGAGGAATCCAGACCTGGACCGTCACTCTCTCTGCAGCCATGCGAGAAGGTGATTTCTTCTTTGCTGACAGACCGCCGCTCTGGGGATCTTTCGCCAAATCTTCTGCACCCTCCTCAACGAGATCCATGGTTGACTCGGTAGTGGAGATCATCTCCGCTTCTTCAGTCGGGGCCTCGTCCCTAATCTCTGTTTGTCTATCCGCTGATCCTTTCTCTTTTGTTTCACCAAGTAATTGGAGTCGGAACGAGTGAAGTACCTTGGGGTCCTGGTTGGCAAGCCAGATACTAGTCGGCGTCTCCATCTCCTCACCCTTTTTCCTTTCCATGGGATCCTGGCTCTTGAGCAACTGCTGTCGCCGAGCTTCAAGTGCAACTTCTTCGAATGACGCCTCCCCGCGAATTAAACCGACAGTCTTAAGCGTCTTGCCTTCATCCTTCCTCCTTGACGATCTCCATCTGCTGATCTTTCGCGCCACTTCCGACGTGTTGAGAATGTTGGCACGATACATAGCCCCTGCGTAGCGTGCGGAGAATTCTGCGGCAAGACGTTTGATAATGTCCTCAGTGTGCATGCGTACGAACGCGTCACGAAGAATGACATTTAGATTCGGAATGTCAGCGGCATGGGTCCAGAAGCTGTCATGAACAGCGGCAAAATCGAGACCCATTTCACCGGCCTTTAAAGCCGATAGAGTCATGTGTGTAGCATCCAGGGAATGAATAAAGTTTGGAGGAAACGCCTGGAGCTGCTTGCGTTTATCGACCTCATCCTGGATCGATTTCCTTGACACGGTGATGTCTTGGATTTTGGTTCTGATCTTTTGAACGCTGTCTTTCCTGTATGGCTGTACGATGGGCATCTTCAAAGGGGTTGTCCAGATGATACTCGTCTTAAACTTTTCCATATTTTTGTTCAGCTTGTTGATTTGGAGTGCAGTCATCGCCTTGGGTGAGACAAACTTGGAGTCGTATAACGTTTTGGCGGGGTCCATTCCCTCAAACCGAGCCTGAATTCGCTTAATCTGTTCAGCAGATATCGAGGTTGTGATACGATCACCGCACTCGCCCAGCCAGTATTGGATTTCCTGTGCTCCATTGAAGATTTTGCCCAGAGCATCGAAAATCTTCTGGGCAACATACAAAGCGACGAGACCAAGAGATCTGATCTTTTCGGTTGGCTGGAAGTTAGGAAAGAGATTTCGCAGCTCATCTTGCACTTGCTGCTTCGCACCCATGAATGTGACACCGTAGACATTGGTCATGACGGTTCGCTTAACCACCTTTCTGGAAATGTAGCCATTGATAAAATTGGCAACAGGATCTCCTTTGGTGGCATCCTTGACAACCATCTCTTTAACAAGCTCCGCAACGCCTGTATAAATGTCTTGTGGTCTGTCAGAAGGCTCCAAATTGACTTGGCGAGCACCCGCATGGTCTCCTCCCAAGGCTGCGTAATGCTGAAGTCCATTACAGGTTCCGTCTTGATGAACAGGAAACTGCGAAACGAAGCGAGCCGGATCAGGCATGTCCAAAGCGTTCTTCAACTCCATACAACATGCCAAGCACTGCCATGGGTCTTCAGCTTTGGTCCACCATCGCCGACCCTCTAATGGATTGGTTGCAGAGTCGTAGATCTCATCGATGTTGTCCATGGCGAACTGTTCACGCTCTCGTAGGCTAGCCTTGTCAAAGCCGTACAGATTGGCAAGGTGGATCTTGAGCCACTGCAAACCGACTGTTCCGAGCTCTTTGCCATGCGCAAACTTGAGAAGGCCTCTTGCCAGGTCAGAACCAATGTGATTGAGAATAGGTGGTATTGGGTACGCTCGGCCTCTGAAATCGACACTGTGTGGAAAGTATATCTTTTTCTCGTTGACGTAGGCTCGGGCAGTCTCGAGTTGGAAGTTCTGGAAACACCGTTGAGAGTGAAGACCACCAATGATGTTCTCATACTCTTGGAGTGCCTTGCTCCATTTTACGCGTTCCTGGTAGGGTGCGTCTGCAGGAGGCTCGGGTGGACGTTTATGGTTCTTGAGGGCATCATCACCAACCAGAGATCCAATGCTCTCACCAGCGTTCCAGGCACGAGCCATGACATCGAAGACAGGGGCATTGATTTGCCAAGGAACCCGCCCAAGGACGTCGAGTGCGGCCATGACCTTGGACATGTCACCATTTTCTATGGCTAGCTGAGCATATGCTCGCTGAGCGCTGTCACCACCCTTCTGCCGGACGACCTTTTGTGGTACAGTATAATATCCACCCGATTCAAAGCTCGTCCACGGTTTGGGTTCGATGATCATGGGCAGCCTGACAGTCTGAATGCTATGAACAGGTTCTGTGCGCAGTTTGGCCATGATTTCGTGATGAGGCACGATGAAACCGAGTTTCTTGCCTTGGTGGAAGCCGAGCTGGTGATGAAAGGCAGCCATGTTGCGAGACACGGTTTTGCCAGTTCTTGGGTCAGTGGCGGTCACGACAAGGGTTGCGGTCTGGAGCAACTGTTCTATGCACATGGCACCGAGCTTAGTCCTGGAAGAGAGTGGTATGTTGACCTTCTCAAACACAAAAGAGCTTGTTGACGCGCTTTGTGTCGTGGCTTCAGAAGATGGTGCTGAACTCGACTTGGACAGCTGGTTGACCAAGTCCAGACGGGTTTGCTTCCTTTGCTTCTTGAGAAAAGCATCTCGTCGGGTTTGATTTTCACTATTGAGATAATCCTCAATGTCGCTGCCCACGGAAATCGAAAGGGTTGATATCTTAAAAGCAGAATTATCTTCGCCCTTGCCTCTGACTGCCGCCAGCGTTGTGCGAGCAACAGTGATAGCCGCTAATCTCTCAGGTTTGCATCGCTCAAGCCAAACACCGTATGCGTGGGCGTCGTCTCGGGAATTGGCCTTGATAGGCTCGGACATGATTTCCTTCGCATGTTCAATACGCTTCTTGAACAATGGTACCAGGGCTGTGTACCAGCCGTACATCATCGCTTGGATGGGCTTCGTGTTTACGACGCCATGAATGCCAATTTTTTGCATCTGCTCGTCCTCAGCCTTCCATCTTTTCACGGCAGCTTCTATGCCGTCCTTTTCCACCTGCAATTGTCGTGCGTATGCATAGGCTTGGTCCTTTTCTTCTTGCGTCCCGTCCATGTCGTGCGGGTAGGGGACACTCTCGATGTCGTCAAAGATGGAGAGGGCTTGCTTCAGTGAGTCGAGGCCCATACCTTTCTGCTCGACAGGTTTGATACTCTGTGCGGGGTGCGGCACTAGGCCGTGTTCGATGAGGTTTTTGCGGCCCTCGGGTGTGCTGGTGTGGAGATGTTGGACTTGGTCGACTGATGGAGGCTCGTAGAACGACTCGGGCTGCAGGCGAATCAACAGATCCCATTCTTCGTCAGTAAAGTCGGGTGAAGCATTGATGTTGTCGACAAGGTGCTCGCCGTGCTCACGGGCTGTTGCGATGTAGTGTCGGACGGCATTTTCCTCGGCACCATGCTCGAGAAAGTTCATGGCAGCTCGAATGAGAGTGACAAAGGTCTGGGCGTTGGGCTGAATGCCTTTCCGCAGCATCTTGGTGTCGTACCATGTCTGTATCTTTTCCATTGCCGATGCCTTGTCGTCCATGTGACCCAGATCGAGCAGAGTGGAGAGGTAGACATTGTGGGCATCGATGACTTCGGGTGCGTCCGGGTTGTACAGAGTCATCAGTCGTTTGATGATGACAGCGGCACGGTCAACGCGCCCAACGCGCAGGCAGGCATAGAGGTTTTGGTGCAGTTCGACCGGGTCGGTGCCGACACCAGGAACGGATCGAAGCTGCGGCGTAGCAGCCAGCGACTCGTGCACGACAAGCGGATTGGTGGCGTCCCATTGTGGGAGGCGCGAGAGGTCGGGGTTGGAGTGGTGGCGACCAAATGTGTGGGCGAAGGGATTGAAGGGGAGCGACGAGGGCGGCGGCGGCTGCACTTGGGCTGTCGTGGCGAGGGAGCGAGTCTCATGGCGGGCCGACAGCGAAGGCCGCCGCCGCTGTTGTTGCTGTCGGTGCTGCTGCTGGTGCCTCAATGAGGCCGTACTGGACGTTGTTCGCGACAGCGCTGGGCAGAGCCATGGCAGAGTCAGTTTCCGGCCGACTGCTCGTGTGAGCATCTTGCCAATGGTCGTCGCGTCGAGCGTCGATGGGGGAGGGGTATCAAACGAAATGGATGCGAGAAGAAACGATAAAAAAAAAGACACCCCAAAAAATGAGCCCAGGCTGCTATCTGCACACACGAGGCGAACAGGCAGGAGGAAAGAGACAAGGCAGAGACAGCATTCGGTGTGGAATTGGGATTGGGCTTGGTTGCCCGACGAGGATGAAAAGTCTATCTCTCGGTGTGTCTCTCTGTTTCTCTCCATGCACAAAAAAAAAAGTCAAGCCGGGCCCTTGGCGGCGTCATGACCCAAAGCGGCAAAGCGCCAGCCTTTACCAGCCCCACCACCGCCACCGCCGCCACCGCCGCCATCATCCATTTCCCTGCATGTGGCCGACCAGAACGTTTGGTGCACACACTACTTACCACGGCTATCACTGCTACCATCGGCACATGTTGCTACACCTACTGTACTGCCCTGTGCTGGGACGGGCTGACACTCGACTGTCTACTATCCAGTATGCAGCCTAGTGCCTACACGCCAGCAGCTACAACTGCAGTGCGTGTAGCTGCTCTCGCCGTCGTTGACGTCGTCTTGGAAGGAGGAGGCCGCCCATCTATAACCAACAGTTTCTCCAGCTCATCGTCAATCGGCGCGTTGAACATCTCCGCCTCTCGCGTTATATCCTTTTCCCAATCTTCCTCGCTCTCATTGCCAAAGCAAAATAAGTCTCCCGCCTCGCCTGTCACTCTCTTCCTGTGCTTCCCTTTAACCATTCGGCAACCACCAATCTCTTGGCGGAACTCATCTGCAAATGACTGGGCAATGATTGACACGTTGGCTGGATGAATCTTCTGGCCGTCGTACAGCAGTCGTGGCAGGTCGGCAATGTTGGGAAGGTTGCCGTCGAACGGGAGTGCTTCATGTAGAGGCACTGCGCCAGCCACCATGTGCCGCTCTACGGTTGGAGGGGCCCGCCGTGATTCTCCAGTGCGAACAAAAACATCCTCCTTTTCCGGCACTTGCGCTTCCTGGCCGGCAGTAGGCGGTGGTACACGAAACTCCTCTGGAGCCTGGTAAAGCTCGTTGTGTATAGTGACGAAGGCATCAGAAGTCATGGCAGGATACAGCAATGAGTAGCCTCGGGCTCGCATCAACTCGAGCATATACTCGGTCCAAGCCGGTTGCGTCTCTGATACCAGCTTTGCCCGAGATACTGATTTTTTCAAAGCTTGACGCTTGGTGACTCGCTTGCTTAGGAACGAGTGCAATTCGGCCCATTTATCGCCAAAGAACAATGTTGCGTGGCTGTTTGGCGCCTGCCACAAAAATGGTGCGTCCTTGGCATTTGGATACGAGACTTTGTACTGGTCGTTATGCATATCCTTGATGGTTGGAGGTTGCAGCTTCTTCTTGTTGTCCAAATGCGTCAATGGCAGCTCAAGGCTCACGCCCATCAAGCCCCCACTTTCAGGAGCACCAAATATAGAGTACTTGTACTCATACACCATATAGTGGACAAAGTGAAAGTATTGTCGGGCGACCTGCGCCTGTGGGCACAGTAGGAGCACGTGCGACTTACTAGGGTTCGCGGGGTAGAACAGCTCGAGGAAGCGTATGGCGGCGGCCTCCTGGCTGTCATGATGATTCGCGATGCGCCGTCTGATGACCAGTCCGCCTCCCACCGTGTGCTCGTCGCTGTTTGGCGGCCACTTGAAGCTTTCTATGCGCTCTTTCACCGACAGGTCTAGTTCCGCGGGTAGCTCGATCGTGATACGAGGCGGTCTCAGTCCACTGTAATCAGCGTCCTTGATAGACTGGAGTAGCCGCAAAACGCTCGACGAGCCCGGTGGCACCTGAATCAGAATGTCTACAATAGGATCATGCCAGTGCTTAAGCGATGCGGAGTCAAGTCTCGTCACCCATGTCAAGTCTTGCAGTTTATCCTTGGGCACTTGGATAAGAGCCATTTGCAACGCATCAGTCTTGCTTGTCATGCCTCGAACAAAAAAAGCGTTCTCTGACGAAGAGTCGTCGATGATGGCGGCCTGAGGGTGCAGGAAGCTATTGATGTGCGCCATGGCACCTTTTACTGCCGACTCGGCGCGGGCATCAGTGCTATATCTGTTGGCAGGGTGTCAGTTGGCTAGGTTCGGCCATTCAATCAGTGTAGACGTGTCGTGGATATTGGCAAAACCCCTTCAACGGCTGCGCAGGTAAGCGGACGTACTCGGTGTAGTCTGGCCGTGCATCGTGCCATGTAACAGAGCAGGAGGCCGTGTCTATGCCATTGATGTGCAGCAAGTCCTCCAAGGGTATGTTGTCGCGGCCCATGAAAACCGCATGGACATAATTCCGATTCAATTTGGCCATGTCGCACGCCATGGCCAGCAGTGTTGAAGCGCTCTTGAGGCTTGACATGGCAAAGATGATGTTTTGGTTCTTCTTTTCATAGCCGCTCGTCCGTGACGCATCGGATCGCAACGTGCTGGCTAGCCGAAAGTACCGTATCTGGCCGTCGTACGCATGAGGTGCAGCGTCTCCACGCCGTGGCTTCTGTATGCCGGGAGGCGCTCCCGTAGGCTCGTCTTCGTCTACGGTCGGTTTCTCGTACGTAGGTGTGATGGGCCGTCCAAACTGCGATGGATATTGTCGGAGGGCAGACTCGGCGCGGCCGTGTGCGGTACCTTGGAAAAGATAGTAGAGCAAGACCAGGCCGGTTACTGCAAGCAGGATTCGGCGCCTTCGCCAGCGAACTGGCTGGTTCCATATGAGCCAGCCGGGCTTTCGCGCTGGCTTGAACCGGTGATCATCGTCTTTTTTGCCCAGCTCCTCGTCTGTGGGGAGGATTGTCTTTCGGTACATGTTGTTGCGCGTGATGCACGTCCTTGCTACCATTCAACGGCCCGGGTCATGGTGTTGGAAAGGAGAATGGGAGTCGCGCAGCAAAGTTTCGGAAAATGCGCCGGAGCAGACGGGTGTGCCGCGGATGCCCCAATGGCCGCAGGGCAAGCCCAGGCAAAATCTGCTGTTTGTCGCGCACCGGGATATAGGCCACGAGCTAGGAGGCTTCTTGGAGACAACTGAGGCGACTGCAGTGATGCAGTACAGGCGACGTAGGGGCCGAGGCCATTGTGGCCACCGAAGGCGATTGGCATGGCGCGAGCCGTGTCGAGCCAAGCGCATCGCCCATCCCTGCTACCGAACCCGCCGCCGAACACCCTCTTTGCGTGAAGGACACATGACATGGCATGGCAGTAAGCCGTGCATGCATATGTGTGTACTAGCAGCACTTGTATGGACATGGAATTATATAGTAACAACGTATACATACGGGTGTCATGGAAGTATTCATGTAAGCGTGGATGGCAGAGCTCCAGGTCACGTGCTGCTATGTCACGTAATACCCCATCCCTCCGCTCTTTCACATCAATCTGTAGCCACCCAAACACTACCACCACCACCACGACTACTACAACATCGCCAATCCCCCAACTACACCTTGGCGTAATCCGCCAACCGCTCATCTGCTGCCTTCAACGCCTCACGCAGCGCCTGCACGTTGCGTGGCTTGAAAATCACCTGGTAGTGTCGGCACATTGTCACCAGGCTGGTAGGGTCTGCGCTGCCTCGGACAGGATGCACGTCCACGTCCGAATCCTGGACAAGCTCGAAGCTGTTCAGCATCCTTAGGAATACCAGGTACAGTTCTCGATTGGCCAGTAGCGACCCGGCACACATCCTGTAGCCCAGGCCATATGTATGCAGCGGCGCATCGGGCTGTTCGAGCCAGCGCTCTGGGCGGAACTCGTCTGGATCACTCCACACTTCTGGGTCTACGTACTCCCCGTTAGCCTTGCGCGCCCACGGGTCCCTTCACGCCATGAAACCACTTACCCATGTTGCACGCCCATGCATTCAGATATATGGTGCTGCCCGCCGGAATCAACTTGCCCTCATATCTTATGTCCTTTACGGTGGCCCGCGGAAGCGCCAGTCGCAAGACTGTATAGTATCGCAAACACTCTCGAACCAGTGCGACAATGTATCCACACTTTTGATCGTCATGCGCATCAGCCAGGGGCTCGTCCGCCGAGTAGAACTTCCGGATCTCCTTGATGGCCTTTTCTTGGATGTCTGGTCTTTGGGCTAGCAAAGCGACACTCCACTGAACCAATGTCGTGATCGTATCCAGTCCTCCCGACAGCATTGTCAGACTAATCGATGTCAATTCCTCCTTGTTCAGAGCGGCTTCTTTGTCCTGGATGATATTCGCTTGGATGCACGGCTTGTGGGTGCCCTTCTCCATGCGTTGGTCCAGATCGCGGTTCAGCTTGGTCAAGTACACATCTCTGCGACTACGATACTCTTTCGCCGACTTGGTGCCCAAGCTGAAGGGGTTCAACCGCAGTATGGGAATGTAGTCTTGCAGGTTGCCAGTGGTGCTTCGAAACTTTGATACCGCAGCCTCGACTTCACAAATCTCATGGAACATGGGGTCATGTCGACTGCTCATCCGTGTTCCCCAGTTTAGCGTCAATGCCAGCGACAGAGAAAGCCGTTCAATCATAGGCATTGGATCCACCCCAACTGTGCCAGCATTGCCTGATTCGAAACCATCTTTGATAAACTCTTTCGTCTCGAGGTCGAGATAATTCACGTATGTCGCAATCGAAGGCTTATTCAGTGCAGAAGCAGCACCCTTTCTCCGACGCTTGAGAGAATCGTTGAATGGCGATGTTCCAATGGTCGTACCCGCAGTGTTTGAGAGCACCTGCATGGCAATTAGCACAGTTTTTTATGCGTCCTCGATCAACCCACCTTGTGGAAAGTCCAGAATACCGGCCTTGAGCTTAGTGCTTGACTATTCCCACCAAATATCTTCTTCGCAGCGTCTGCGCCATTCACCACAATCACCGGTTCGTTGCCAAGCTGTATCTGGTACACAGGCCCAAAAACCTTGCTCCATTCCCGATACTTTTCCGCAGCGTTGTATTTGATATCCGGGATGTTGCCCACCAACGGCCAGTTTGTAGGTCCAGAAAAACCCTTTATGCGTCGCGAATATCGAACATATTCATTGCCGATGACGTATAGGACAGGGACAAGAATGAATGTCAGTAGAAGGGATTGGAGTGGATTATTAGCTAGTTGCGACAATAGCAGCGCAGTAGTGAGTGACATTATCACATTCACTGTTTACCGTCTCCAACCAGTTCCGGATGTCAAACAGATAAAAAGAAAAGAGACGTGTTCTCTTTAGCAACAGAAATCGTGAGCACGGAGAGCGAGTAGCCTCGGCATTACTTTGTTTGTCCATTGCTTCTTATGCAGTACCGATTCCTTCACGTCTCCATGTGACGATGCGGCTTGTGCGGGGAAATACCATTAACTTTGTGGAGTGCGGAATTAGTCGCCTAGCGCGGAATGCAGGGCACGCCGCGGGTCGTCATCATCCCGCCGGTAAGTAGGGGAGCTCCGTCGCATCTTTGCGAAGGAAAAGTAACTCCTTCGACATAGTCTCCAGCCGATTAATTACTCTTGAGGCCGGAGAAAGATTTGCTTTCACAGGCTCTCAATGCTGTTAGAGCTCGACTATACACAAGTTATCTTCCGGTTTCGTGTCCAATGTATGCTGAACATCTGGCTAGCACATAGGTCACAAGCCTTTCTAAGATATCTCTTGAGGAAGGAAATAAATCATCTGTCACTGTAACCACTGTTTCAGTCAAGGTTAGATAGGTCCAATGTTCTGCTCTAGCTAAGTCAAGTCCTCATCTTCCAATATGTGTAACTTCAGTTTCACCTTTCCCACTGTGAACATATGTCGCTTTTGGAACAGTGACTTGGCTCTAGCAGTTTGGTGAATTTGCTAGATGTGAATTTGGGAGTACCGATCGATCGACGACACAGCACAACAGACACTGCCCAGCTGAGTGTTGCAGATAATTCAAACATGCAGTGCTTTCCAAACGGAACAAGAGATATCGGCCCTTAGGATAAGCAACCATAGCACACGAGAGCTACAACACCAGCTCCAACCCAGATTTAAATCATTCACAAAAGACAAATGATACAAGAGTCAAACGCTTCGTGGGATGGAGAAGCTGGCAGTGCGAACGCATGTTCCGGCCACATTGACCACACGCGGACACACGCGATCCCACGCGACCCTTCAAGACGTGGCCAGATCGCCTTACATCGTGAACAGCATTCATATCGGTGAGAGTGGGACACGGGCGTTGGGTGACCTCAAATAACCCCCTCCCCCCCTCTTCACGTTAGATGCGAGTCTGCTGACTTCCGTCTTCCCTATCATTTACTACTACTAAAGCAAAGCAATATAGATTCACGCGACTCCTCATAATACACATCAATACCGTCCCTCTATCATATTTACCCAGCCTTTACGTTACAATCAACAGAGTTACCTTGAAGAAATACTAGAAGCTACATGAAGGGATTCTCACCTTGCATGGCACCACTATGCGGCAGAAACAGTCACAACCCAGGAGATAGGCTTCCCGAAAAACATCTCCAAGCTGCTCCCAGGCCAGGAGAAGTCCATGGTCACTTTGGGGACGCGGACCATAACTATTACGGCCAGCGGTTTGCTGTTGCAAACACCATTAGCCAATCCCCTTTTCCGAACATCGGATTCGACTCGGAAGATGCCACTGCACGTGATCTACACTCTTGCGTACAGACAGCGCATTTATCGGCTAGCGGAGGCAATGGTCTTTTTCATGATACTGGGAACTACATGGCCGTCACGAACCCAGGCCCCCAGAGCCCTGGGCAGAGAAATGGAGTTTCCCGTGACCATTTGATTCACCGCAGGTCCTTCTCAATCGAAGAGCCAACACTCGCCTCCATGACATCAGTTGGACTGTCAGAGTCCAGACATAGCAGCGCACCTCCACACATGCCAGGCCAGCATTACGGACCGTTCCTTGGCCGCTTTCGAACCTCGGAGGAAGCAAAGGGTTATCGCCGTGACCGAATGAGATTTGGCAGGAGACCATGGAGAGATCCTGAAAGCGACCCAACCATCGCCGAGACTGAGAATAGCCGGGATTACCACGTGGAGCGTATCTACAACGCCATGATCTCTGGAGAATTCGCCAGAGACAATGCAAAATCTACTGCGCTGAAGAGATGGGTCCACGAACCGCATTACCAGGCCGATCTTGTGGAAGCATACGCTCATAAGGTTTTCGACTGCTTGCTCGAGCAGGTCAAGCACGGGTTTCGTGGCTGGCATCAGAACGACTACGTCAATGACGAGCGAAAGGGCGAAGACGACGACAAGGACATTGACTGCGCAGGTCGCTTAGGTACGTGTTTATTGTACAGTAATTTTCGTAGTACTCGTACTAACTCCATACACTGTGTAGACAACATCGTGGCAGCGCTCCAGCAGGAAAAGTCGATATGCGAGAACGTCATGAGCTCCGCCTGGCAGATACGCATGTTCGTCAACGCACCCAAGGCATATGCTAAGCGCAAGGACCAGAATCGTGTTGGAAATAGCAAGCGGCCAAATGCGAAAAGTACCGACGTTGCAGACGACAGCTCACGGGCGCTGAAAAGAGCAAGGAACACAGTTGCTACACGACCCAGACAGGTGCGCGACCGCTCGTCGATTGCACAGCTTCCACCATCAAGAGGTCCGGCTCTTCAGCAACAGTATCAGCAGGCGCAATCACCATACTTTACACCCTCGGTGATGCACTCGACAACAATGAGCCCTTCACAGCGATTCCTGCCACTGCAAGCCCCTTTGTCGCACTTCTCCCCTCCTTCACACGGGCCTTCACCAAGCCACGAGACAAGTCTCGTCCCACAGTCAGCAACCCCATTGACCAGGCGACCGCCTCCAACACCAGGACGACAGGAAACCCAGCGCATGACGTCGATGCCACCCATGCCTCCTGACAACGTCTTTGCCTCGCCCCTAGCCAAGGAAGCAAAACCCGTACCACCCCCCTCGACCTTCAAAGACTGGCAAACTGCAACGCACGCGTACCTTGCGCCCAGCGCATCTCAACAGCTCGACACGCTTGACGTGGCTGCCACGGCAAACGAGCAGCAGCAGCAGCAGCAAGACATGCACACGCCGTTTTCGGGTTGCCATGAGACCCCCGCTTATGCCAGCATGTTCGAGCCGCCACACTCGGAAATGGGCGTGTCTCTTGCTGATATGGAGTTTGTTTCGTTGCAGCCTCCGATGGACGATGATTTCCGCGACCAAGCTTTTCACGGGTATTGGCACTGAAATGTGTTGAATAGCCGGTGTTTCTTTGGAAGCACGTGACTGGCGATTGGGAACTGTATTACTTTACATATTGTTATCTGTGGCTTCATTGTTCTCAGCGTTGGCTAAACTGGTCCATGTGGCGCCAACACTCCTCGTTTCTTGTTCAGTATGACCTTTTCTTATACCGATTCTATTCATTCAGTCTTCTTTTGTTTTTATACTCCGGGTGTCTGTTCGACTGGGGATATTGCGTCGAACGCAAGTGGATCGCAGGGCAGAGAGGGAACTGGGCTGGCGCATGGCATTGGGCATTGGGAATGTCAACGCAGAGTCTTGGGAACTCCATTATTATCTTGTAGTTGGTAGTGGTTTGTGCTGTAGAGTATATCAATTCTTATCAATAGCACCTGCTGTGCTTCTCGTTAATGTCGGCGTTAGACAGTGAAGCATACTTGGTATGTATATACTCGTGGGTATAGTATACGAGCGGGTCGACTGATGGGACATGGTACTCCTTCTATACAACGTACAATTTTGAAGAGGTGATACACACAAGGCAAACTTCACTGGCAAAGGAGAGCAACATGTATCCCACACGGAGCGGGTAAAATGGCATAATTGAAAGGTATATCTACAGCAGAAGCGAACCGCAATCTCTTACTATGTACCAAGACACAAGACGGTGTATCATGCGCCTATCCTCCTTTTCAGACAAGAGCTTAAGCGCGGAAAGCACGGGGGTGAACGCCACCTGCAGCCACCATGCGGCGAAGCCTGTTAGCGGTACCAGTTCCCGCGTTCTTGCGGAGCCAGGTGATGAAGGTGTCAAGGGTGAATGTCTTAGGGAGGGCAGAGCTAGAGCCAGAGCCGGAGCCAGAGCTAGAGCCAGAGCCAGAGCCAGCACCAGAACCGGAACCAGAGCCAGAACCATAACCAGTGACATAACCACCGTTGTTAGGCTTAGGGCTAGTGTTGGAGCCAGAAGTATCCATGCTAGACGCAGGAGAGGGCTGAGGGGCGGAGCTACTACCGCCAGCTGGAGAGGGTGATGTATTGGAAGTGCCGGAGCCACCGCACATGACAAAGTCAACGCAGGACTCGTATGTCTGGTCAATGGAGGCTGCGTTCCAGAACCACTGGATCACACAGCTTCCCTCCTTGCAGCATTCGAAGCTAACATCGGGCAGTGTGAAGTCGAACGATGTCCACTCGGGGTGCTGGCTGAGGGGTTGCGAGGTCAAGGCGTACTTGTCCCAGCTGATGAGGGGCTTGCCAATGACTGTGTCGGTGGCGGTGTTCACAATGGAAACGTTGGCGACACCATCGTGAGGGGCACGGATGTCGACCTTCATCTCGACCTTCTGGCCAGGCTTATATTGCTGAATCTCGCCGTGGTCGGAGAAAGGAATGCCCTTGCATTGCCACAGGCGGCAGTCTGGGTGAGAGCCCTGCAGGTTTTGTCGAGCACCCTGGACGTTGCCGTAGTGGTCGGAAAACTCGTTGTTGTAGACCTGGTCGCCACAGGCAGCCTTGAGACCCAGACCGGGCATGCGGACATTGGGAGAAGTGACATAGCCGTGGGCGGCAACGGAAGAGGCAAAGCCTGCAATAGCGATAGCGACGGAGTAAGCCTTCATTGTGGTGGTGTTGGTGTTGGTGGTTGATCGAGAGGAGCAGTAGGTGTTGTAGAGACGAATGGACTGAAGCCTAGCTTCTGTAAAAGGGAGTGAATGAAGAGGTCGGTATAGAATGAACGTGAGGTCTCAGACCTAGAGGGGACAAAGCGACTGTGGGGTGAAAGGGAAAGAAATGGTGGTTGATGCAAAGGAAAAGACTAGAGATAGGCCAGCGTCGCCTATATATGAGCTGGCAACATGGCACTATTCCCCTTTGCCAGTATGCGCGTGGATCTCAGGTGTAATTAAACATTCGAAACATGTTCCCACGAGATTGGGCTTTGCACAACGCCTACCCGCCCTTTGGTTTCGGTTCAAGGCGTCAGCGAAGCCTTGCCCGTTCCTGGCGCTTCAGGCTTGGAGCGGGCCATGTATAATGCTTGTTTCTAATGTTTTCTCCACCAGTCACAGGCGTAGGTGCGGTGCCCAGGATCGGTGACAGGGTATTGTGCGAAGATGCGGTAGAGGCGTTCCCACGACAGCGGGCACCATGCATCTTGACTGGAGCCAGCAGCCTGGTTTCTGACTCGCTCTACTGCGAGGGAGCATGTAAACGAGTTTGTTCATATAGGCGAGGCGCCCATGTCCCTGGATTGAAACGGTTGTGGGCGGGGGCAAGTTTCAGGACGCCCGAGGCTTATGCAAGGAACGGTGCCAAGGGTGCGCGGGCTATTCGTCTTCGCCATGTGCAGCGGTATCTCCCGCCCCTCTGCTGACCGTTTTCGCTTTGCCGACTGCCTGAATGGAGCACGGCGTCATATCTGGATTGGTGGTGGTGGCGAGTAGAGGGGCCTGGCGGCATAGAACCCCAAGGTTTCGATCCAAGCGTTTCCTTGCTACTTAAGGCACAAAGCTCGGAGATGACACAAGCCGCTCGATCCTGGCTGCGAGTCAATGCTGGCCGCGGTCAAGCACACGAAGAATTATTATAGCGAAAGCTTGACAAAGCCACGTCGCTCTAGACTTGTTGCTTGGTCTTTGGACGGCACTTTTGCGCATGCATGTAGAGCCATATCGCGACTGTTTACGCCACAAAGGCCAAGTACCTAGAGATGAGCATGTGCCTGGAAACAAAAAAAGTTTCGTTATAAATACCCAAGCGATCGAAGCGAGTGCGAGACGGGCCGCTCACGATGATGATCCAGCGTATGACGGCTGTTAGTTTCATTGTGAAGGCCCGAATTTTGGGTCACGTGAGAGGGTCTTGGCATCCCTCTGGCGTCGGCAGTATGGCGGGATCTTTCCGCACCATTGGCCCGCGCATGTCCGTTTCACCTGCATTCTCCCGTTCACTTCTCTTATCCTACGCATACATTGCCAATGCTGACATGCATTCAAATTTAGTCTTCGCTTACCCGCCACACGAGGCGCTCCATGCTCGCCTCCTTCCGCCTTAACATATCCATTGCCTTTTGCGCGCGCTCCAGAAGGGTTGTGCCTTGCACAATTTTCTGCCTTTGCGGCGTGACAACGCCGTTCTGGAGAAGGGCAGGCATGATATCTGGTTGCAGGTGCTGCTTGAAGAAATCGTTCTGCGTGGCGTTAGAAAGACATATTTGGATAAGCTGATCGGACTTCAGCATCATGCTTACATCGTGGTAAAAGTGTGTTCTTACACCCCTACAATCAACTCCATCATCCCAGGTAGCCGCCCTTGACACGTCCATCTCATACACTGGATCCTCGGTTTCGCTCGAGTCGCGCACAACGACGGGTAACAGGACGGCGACTTTTGTGCCTCTCTTGGCAATTCGGGCAATGGGCGCGATACTACCGTTTTTGCTGCCAATGCAATCCAATATAAGCGGAACATGGCCTGCCCTGGCTCGAATCGATGCAACTACACCCGCATCATTGTAATCCAAAACTTCCTTTGCACCGAAGCTTCGCAGCTTCTCATGATGCTTTTGCGATGCCGTCGTAAGGATGTTCTTATATCCGTAATATCTGAGAATCTGGATTGCAAACTGCCCTACTGATGAAGAACCACCCCAGATGAGTATTGCGTCATCAGCGCGCGGTGGCAGGTAGTCCACAGGCTTCGGCCATGGGGTCTCGAGGCCGAGGTCCTTGGTGAGGGCATGGAAGACTGTCACAAAGTTGTTTGGCAACGTGACAGCCTCCTCAAGGGTGAAGCCTCGTGGCAGCTGATGCTCATTATCAGTACCTTTTCAGATATACTGAGGTCCAGTGTGTACAAACCCTTGCAAACTGCCACTCATCCGCAGTACAAAATTCCTGGTGCGACTTTTCCGCCTGAGTTCTCCAGGTAAAGCCAAAGACTTTATCACCAACACTCAACCGTTTCGTATCTGGTCCAACCTGCACAACAGTGCCAGCAGTACTGTCTCCAAGTACCTGGGGATGCTGAACGAGCAGACCGCCGTCGTTTAGGTGCAAGTCGAGCGGCGTCGACGCAGTCCACTCAACCCGAACACGAACTTGCTGTCCAGTCGGAGCGACGGTAGGTACTCGGATAATAGCAAGAGGGCACTTGAGGCCCACAGTTGCAACGGCAGAGTGTGTCGACATGGCGGAATGCTGGATGATGCAGAATGTGAGTCCAGTCTCGGATCAAAAGTGAAAATGGCCCGCTAAGTAACAGAAGCTTATGGTTCTTTTTGCCCTCCACTTTTCAGCGCTCTTCAATGCTTTTTATAATCTCTTGAATCACCATGTCTTGGTAGGTTTTGATATTACAAATGCATGAAGGGTTGAAGCGCACTAGGGAAAATTTCCAAATCCGGTAAAGATCATCGCTCGACGGCTTGCTCGTCATCGACACATTTCATGTCGGCGATCAAGTATGATGTTTAAACAGACATTGATTACGCTACATACAGCCTCAAAATAGAAGCGCTCTTAGATTTTGAATTACAGATGGAAGAATTCATCTCACTTATCCCCTCCACGTCTTCCTCAACCTGATGGTTTATTGTCCTGAACCAACAAGATTGGATACATTTTACCTTTAATCGTACATTTCCAGCACAATTCCATGCGGCCCTCCCTCACTCGCAGCATAATTCAGCTCATACCAGTACACTTCCAAATCCCTCCTGCTTCCCGCGTGGACATAGAACTGGGCCACGCGCCCTGCAGGGCACTGGAACCATCGACTCACAATCTCGGTCGCCGAAGCCGTGGACAAGATGTACGTGTCGTAGTGCTCAATGATGGCGGGCTTGTTGTTCCAGGTCGTGGCACCGTTGACGAGCTTCGGCTCGATGCGTGAGATGTTGATGGCGAAAGGAGCCTCGCCTTTGAGACTGAAAGGAGGATTGTGGTAGGAATTCGTGTTGACTAGGAACCGGAGGCGGCAGGTGGTGCCGTTGATGTCGTGCACGTCAAAGTTGACGCCCGTCCACACTTGATTGCCTGTCTTGCTCTTTCTTGAAAATCAGATGCTATACAAGGGACATGTATGGGACAGGGGAAAGTAGCATACATTGTAGCTGACAGTGGCGTCATTTAGAGTCTTGAATGCAGTGTCTGGTTCGGCGCTCTTGAGGGGAATGAGGAGATGTGGAAATTCGATATTGACAAGTGCAGATAGGGCTGGAAGCCCGAAAAGAGCTGGAAGAAGGCAGGAAAGGCGCATACTGGGTTTGTGGGTAAGATTGGCGATGATGAATCTGGAACCCAACAGTGGCTGATATACAGGTATTATATATGATAACTCGGGAGGATTATCCGCGAGGCACACATGCTCTCCCAACAAAGCGTGACAAACTTTGGTAGCACGACTTGGACATTGCGAGCAATTATGCTATATCCGGGGTACGGGGTACGGTAATGCTTATAATTCGAGTTCCACGAATATGTTTGGAAAGGGCTGGTGTATCATGAGATGGTGAATGGGCATAATGTGGAAGTCAGCAATCGCAATCCGTGAGGCCATTGTGAGCTACAATGTGCAGCACTAGCCAATCAGTTGTGCGAATAAACTAGGAAGCATGCTATTTGCTCCGTGACTGTGAAAAGGTCGCAGTATTGGCTCCCAAGGTGTTGAACGAAGTACGTAATCAAGATTGATGCGGCAGAGCACAAGGGAGCTGTCATGTGCGTGGCTATCCGTCGGGAAGACAACGTTGCTGGTAATACCGGCAAACAAGCGGCCGATTGGGTACCTTTTTCTTTTTAATTATTGTTCTTTTCTTCTTGGTCAAGCTGTATCACGTTGGACAGTAGCAAGCGGAGGTTGGCGTGGATGCACGCTAGCTGTCCTACGCGGGCTTAGGAAATACAGCCTCGGCAAGTGGGGGCTGGCGTCATAGCATCCCGTCCCTTGGACATGTTGCTACTTGGACGTCTCCTCGTGTATACCCAATTCGGGCCTTGTACTGTAGCTGCAGTCCGATGAGCAATGTGCCCTTGTCAGCATGGCTCTGCTATCCAGACTGCGACCCGCCCTGAAGCCGCGAACATGGGCCTTGTCTATTCCTCCAACCCCAACGCGCCGAAATCTGTATCTGGCACCGCCGTACCTCCTCGATGACTACATACCCCGCTATCATCTGCTCTCGTCGATTGAGGCGTCCAAGAAGCGGTCACTAGCTTACGCACATCTGCGCGAATGCAACTTGTGTCCCAGACTATGTGGCGTCAACCGCTACGAGAAGACGGGCATGTGTCTGATAGGTGCCGAGACAGTCAAGGTGGGAACCATAGCGCCCCATTTCGGCGAGGAGCCATTCATACAAGGACACAACGGTTCCGGGAGCGTCTTCTTCAGTGGCTGCAACATGCGATGCGTCTTTTGTCAGGTATGCGATGCGCGTAGCACCCTCGCCAGAATACTTGCTGACCGTGTGCCCAGAACCACGACATTTCCCATACGCGCAACGGCTTTGACCTCACACCGGAAGAGCTCGCCGAATGGTATATCAAGTTGCAGGATGTCGGTCGGGTCCACAACATTAACCTTGTCACACCAGAACACGTCGTGCCACAGGTCGTCCTTAGCATCCTGCATGCGCGCGAACTGGGCTTGCGCTTGCCCATCATCTACAACACATCGTCTTTCGATTCACTCGGCAGCATCAACCTGCTCGATGGACTTGTCGACATATACATGCCCGACTTCAAGGTGTGGAACGATAAGACAAGCAAGCGGCTGCTCAAAGCCGACAACTACACAAAAGTGGCCATGGAGAGTATCAAGGCCATGCACGAGCAGGTTGGCGATCTCTGCTTCACCGCAGATGGTATAGCCAAGAAGGGCGTCCTTGTGCGACATCTTGTCATGCCAGGTTTGGAGGATGAGGGCAAAGAGATTGTAAAGTGGCTTGCAAATAACGTTAGCAAGGATCTCATGGTGCACATCATGGAGCAATACTTTCCCAGGGCTCACGTGGGCAAGAAACGACGGGGCCACGGAAGCCAGACTGATGCCGAGCGAGGCCAGTCCGGGGCCTCGGATGAGACCAACAAGGACGTGCGATATGCAGAAATCAACCGTCCTGTGAATCTGGAAGATGTAGCTTCAGTCAAGAAGGCCGCCGAAGAAGCGGGCCTATGGCGCTTTGTCGAAGCATCGCGCCATGGCGGCTTCAATATCTGATCAGTTGAGCGTCGAGACGAGGAGAAAAGGAGGGAAGGCGAGAAGGAGGAAAGACAGAGGCAAAGGAAAATCTCCCTCGCAGTTGCCACAGGCAGAGTGCAGCTGCCTCAACACTCGCTACGTTACTGCCCCGTGACTGAGCCAACGTCAGCTCCTTCATCCACCTTGCCTTCGCCACCGTCGCAGCAAGCCACGCCTTGCATCATTACTACAGCGTCTCCCGTTACAATGGACGCCTTGTCCGCCATCGAACACATGGTCCGCGACCTCAAAGTCGACCGGGACACCTGGCAGGCCGTCGCCCTCCAGTACAAAGAAGCCTTTGAGGCCCAGACAGCCCGTCTACAGGAGCTCCAGGACATCTGCTTCGCCACCCAAGCAGAGCTGGAGAACGAGCGAGCCCAAAACCAGAACGCGAGCTCCCTCGACGGCTTCGAGCAGCGCTTTGGTACGGCCACTGTTTATTCTCCGAGCAGCGTGGGTGCACATGCTTCGCCAAGGCCTCCCGGCAGTTCCCCCAGCCTATTCTTCCAGAGGGTGAACGAGTGTGCTGCCCAGCGAAACTACGGTTGTGCTCTCGCCGAAGTCGAGCGACTTTTGCGCGGCCCCCTGAGCGCCAAAGCCCGCGCCGAGGGCCTCTTGCTGAAGAGCACCATCCTAAGAGCATCAGGCCCCGACGAGCTATTCGACGCACTTGCCGCGTGCAGCGAAGCTATAGAGCTATGCAGCCGTCTTTCGGATCTGGAGAACTTGTTGCCTCGAATACAATACCAGCGCGGCCTTCTTTACTACGAGCTTCGTGTGCTTCACCAAGTCCATGGCGCTTCGAGCCAAGTCAGTGATGACGGCCTGTTCTCCTCCCAACACGACGAGTTTCGCAGGTCTTGCGACAACGAGCTGGATCTGCTGCGCTGTGCCAAGCGTCGGTCGGGCTTTGATGAGAGCCGTACTATGGAGGGCCTGCTCGCCCATCTCGAGGAGAAGGCCACGGACGTATGCTACATATCTTTCCACGGGCTGTCATAGCTCCCGGCTCGTGCTAATGTCTGCAGAGCAAACGCCGACGCACGAGTACACAACTCAGACAGCGCGCTGCCGCCAAGGCCAGAAGAATGTCGTTGCCATACAAGTGGATGAAGTCGAAGAGCGAGGGATATCACCGCGACGGGTAAACGACTGTAAGACAGACCGTGGTTTGGGAGGTTCAAAAATATCCACTGGAATACTTCGATTGTCGATACTAGTGTACTAGCGGAACATCTATTGATAGTTTGTGCTCTAATCATGTATCTGGATACACAATGTTCATTCTCTATCCAACCCTCACGTCCTTTGTAAGGGCATCATCCTTTTTGTGTCCAACAATGGTTTCTTCGACACAGAGACATTGTGAGACATATCAAGCAAGGGTTGTTTGGCTTCAAGAGAATCGTTTCCTGCCACTACAAGGTACAAAACTACCGAGAGGAGGATGCATTCTGCTTTGTTCATCGCATACCAGACACCTTTTCTCTCCCAACGTCGACATGTCACAAGATACCACGATGGCACCGACTGTTTCCAATGACGATTTTGTCCATGACATTGTTCCAAACTATAATTCGCCGTTAGAACTGAACATACGCGCTTACATTGACACTATTCCTACCGCATTGCCATCACCAACCGTACAGGACCCATTGTACGGCCGTATTTCACCATTATTATCACCTTCTCAAGAAAACTCCCTCTCTATCCATGGTTTTCTGGATGAACTCAATCAAGCTCCTGATGACGAACTCCTTGCCGAACCCAATCAACCAACTGTATCCAAAACATGCTCGCGCCTGGTACTATTTCGCTCGTATATATCACACTGTCTGGTGTTACAATCGAGCGCCAACATCTCTGAGAGAAAACCGCTGACAAAAAAATTGAGCTCAGAATTAGATAAGAAATACGCAAAGATGCGCCAGCTCGCCTTCAAGGCACAACAGCAGGCCGAAGCTCTTGAAAGGCGCGATCTAAAAGCACGAAGTGAGTACTGGTCTGGCCGTGCCTGTGGCGGTCTACGAGATTGGGAGACAGCCGTGAAACACTTTGCGGTTGCCATTAAGCTCGATGTGCGGAATCCTACCGATAAGCACATCGAACCATTCCGTGAAGGACTACTGCCAGATGAAAAGAACGACGTGGACTTCCTGCTTCAGTACGTAACCCAACGCCGCGATGAATGGGCCCAAAGAAAAGACAAAGAAGAAAAGCGCATGCATCTACAGGGCTTTTACATCGAAGACATAGATTGGGAAGCATTGAAAGATCCCCATTGGACGCCGCATCGAGATTTCATGATGTATTCTGCAAAACAACAACACAGTGGAGTTTCTGGAAAGCCCGTGAACCATGTCAACAGCAGCGCAGACCAGTGGCGACCAGTTCTCCATGACATTGAGATTCGCGTCGTCAACCAGAAGCTGGCTGTACAGGACGACAAGCAATATTTCCGCCACACACTAACCGCAGAGGAGTGGAAATATATACTCCGCGGCGATGAAAATACCAAAAAGAACTTGCTAAGAGTTCAGGGGATGCGCAAAGGGAAGATAGAACATAAGAGAGAGATCAGCTTTCTCCCGTCCCCTCGGAGTATCCCGTCGACACACTCGTCGCCCAAAATGGCACGGGATTTGTGCAGCGAACTGGAACAGGCTGGGTTCAATAGCGATGAGGAAGAAGATATGTATGGTGATGATGATGAGGAGGAGGATGAGGATGAGGAAGATTTAGGTAGTGAAATGGATGAGTCCTAGATGCGCACGACGATGGGTATACTGTCGTTCATTAAACTATGCAATGATATGCTTTGTGGAATGCAGTGGCTCAGTCTCTTAGCATTGGGAAAGTTGAATAAAATAGTGATACAGTATCCCACATACTTATGCATAAGTGGTATCCAGAGGAGCAAGCTTACGTTACAAAATCTATCTCTATGTGGATGTAATTTCCTCAAGGGTATCAGAACATTTTCCAGCTCAAAAGACCATAAGAACTACTAGCTCTAGACAGTTCATACAGACCCAAGCGTCATTGCGAGACCATCGATTTCTCCTTTCCTTTGCTCGGCCTTCTAAACTTCTCACTGAGCTCTCGCACATCGATTCCGTTCTCGATCTGTCCACGTAACCACGCACTCTCCGCTAACTTGGCCGCTATAACACGCTTTCTTGTCCCACTCTTTGCCATATGTTTCAAACTCTTCACAATGCCATCTCCAGGATACGCCAGGATACGCCAGGATACCAAACGTCGCAGCGCCCGTCTTCGTCACCAGACCCGCCATACCTTTGCCAAAGCCCTTGGCATACCCAATAGCACCATCTTTCTTACCGCCTTCGTAGGTCTGGCGAAAGGGATCCGCTAGACCACCCGCAAAGCCATATACGAAATTCTTGCCGCCGACTTGCAGACCGAAAAGAGCGCCAGTGACTTCACCGTGGTCTTTGACTTCCTCACCGTATAGCTTGGGAACATTGCGGAAGCCTTCTGCCGTCGCAAGCGGCAAATCAACCAGGGCGCCCTTGACGTAAGTACCAACGAATTTACCAAACCCTTTCGATACATCCTCGGCCATACGGTATGCAACTGCCCCTCCACCTGGCTTTTGCAGCGGCTCCGAAGAGGATGAGGGAGAAGGAATTTGGCGTTTGGGTCCCGTGAAGGGATCGATGGTCATGCCTTTCATCGCCATACCCATGTCGCCTACTATACCGACAACAGCAGACGTCGAGCCAGTCAAGGGGTCCCAACGCTGATTCGTAATGGTAAACGGACAGGTGGCATAGCTTTCCAGATCTGACTGTGAGAGGATACCCTGGTCAATCAGTATCTGGGCTGCAACTTTGGAGAGGCGAATTGAATTTTTCTTCGTTTTCCAGGATGCCACCATGGCGGGGAGGAGTGCGCATTGCATTGTTTCCAGAGGCAGATTGGCATGGAACGACTGCAATGCTGCTTCTACACCGCGCTCGTTTTCCATTTGTGAGGAGAGGCTTCGAGCTGCGTGCTTGGCTTCAGACGTGAAGCAATATTGTATGGCTTGTGTCAGGTTTTCGCTCGTGAGAAGCTTGTGAGGGATAGGCTTGGGTCCCGCGCCCGAGGCTGCAATCATTTCTCCCCAGAATGGCTGGTCTCCAAAGAACGGTACCACAAATGTAGGACAGGCATTGCGGAGTCCGCATGCAGCTGTGCCTGCCCCGCCGTGGTGCACCACAGCCGTAACATGCTGGAATAACCATTCGTGAGGACAATCTCCGATGAAGAGTATATCTTCATTGTCATTTAGCAAGTTGCCTCCAAGATTACTCCAGCCCTTGGAGATGATTGCTCGGATGCCTAGCTGGCGCACAGCTCCTACGATGGTTTCCGTCATCTTCGCAGCGTCTTCCAGTACAATGCTACCAAAGCCAATGTACACTGGCGCGGGACCATTACGCAAAAACCGGTCTATGTCGTCAGGTGGCATGTAAGGTGTTTGTTCTCTGAAAAAGAAGCCACAAACGTCAATATGTTCCGGCCAATCCGCCGGTTTTGGTACCAGTGCTGGTGACCAGCAATATGTGAAGGGGATCTTGAGTGCTGAGGCGAGTACAGGTCCGACAGATAGCGGTACAGGCTCTAGATCTAGATCATGCCTGAAGCTATTGATGACGTCGCCGAGTCCTTGCCAGGTGAGGCACTCGAAAATCCCATACGAGGCGTAATTAATCCGTGCGGGCGAGATACTATCACCCTTGAAGTTTGCCAGTGGATGGGAGAATGCTCGCGTGCTACTCCAGGGCATGGTGAACATCAGATGGAGCGGAATTCCGAGTGCTTGCGCGCAGTGTACGTGTGCAAAACTAGGCGGATTGGCAATGATAGCATCAGCCACAAACGGTTGCTTGGACTGCGGATCGGGCTCGATACACGAGTACCAGCAGCCATACAGCATATCCCTGATCATTTCTGTTTTGCGCTGGATGTCTCCTTTTCGAATACTGTTCATTGAGGGTATCAGACTCGGGTTCTTGACCATATATCCCACTATTCCGCGTTAGTGGCTTTGCCGTAGATGGTGCCGAATGTAGCCGCTTACTCAGCTCTTTGGGGTCGCCTCCAATCGGGTAAAACTCCAAGTTGGACTCGTGGACAAACGCCTCGAAAGTGTCGTGTGTTGCTATTCGCACACGATGCCCGTATCTTTGCAGCTCCTGGCCCAGAGCGATGAATGGCTGCACGTCGCCCCGACTGCCAACAACTTGAATGACAATATTCAAACGAACGGACCATAAGTTGCTGGTGGTGTATCTACGGCTCAAGCGTGGTCCATCGTGCTCATTCTCGGGTACCAGCTTGATGAGTGTTTTCGTGAGTCTTGAGTTGAGGTCAATGTCAATGCGACCTTCCTCTACCGAACATGAGTAAAGCATGATAGGGCATTGGCAATCAGGAATACCCACCATTTGTGTCAGTAGTGCCAATTTCAGGTATTGAGCCCTTGAAGTCTTCCTCGGTGTACGGTGGTGGTGGAACTTCATGTTCCTCTCCTTGATTGTCGTATTCACGATACACTGGTGTTGGTATTTGAGTATTGTCCGGAATTTTCATCGTCATTGCGAGTGATTCTTCAGGAATTGAGAATGAAAATTTGTTACTGAATAAAATGCAGCAAAGTAAAGCTTTATTCAAATGAGCAGCTGCCTGCGTATATAGTGTTTAGGTATAGTGAAGCTGAATACGGGTACGGGGATACGAGATACGGGAGTACGCAAGCTGGCCTAGTGTCGCCGGATTTTTAGAAGCCCCAGCCTGGTTCATATAATTAGTAAGTCCAATTGCCTTAACGAACACTAAAAAAAAGCATTTTCCAGAATCAGCTGTACGCGCAATAACATGAGAACAACAGACTCGTCGGTCTGAAAGACTTGTTGCCTGGAAGGCGGCTTACGCAATAGCCTGCATCACATCCTCTTAGCATCCTTTTCCTGCGCCACTACCTACCACCTGCCTTTATTTGCAACTGAAACTGACAACGCCCTACCTCTATGTTTGAAGGCAACCCTTCAATGTGTGGAACCACGCTTATGCACGCTGCACGCTGCACGTGAGGCGCTGTGCCACGCAGCTTGGTAAGAGTGGCGCGTAAGCTACCAAAAACAGCATATTGAAAGATATCATGGCGGCGATAGCCGATAATTCCCCATAAGGGTATCTTTCTGTTAAGAACACCTGAAAGGGAATCGTGTCTTGTTACGGTAACCGTAAATGCCAAGGTGATTGTGGTCACTGACTCGACACCGCCCTTCTAGGGTTTAGAAGCAACTCTTTGAAAAACAGCTGACTGGCCCTACATAGGTACTAATAGCAGACCACATCTATTCCCCATCTTCAATGCAGTTCCTAGTGGACGAAATCCACCCCTATGGTGCACATATAAATTGATTGATAATGGTGTTGTAGTGATTGATATCTCCAACGCAATTTCAACCCAAATCGTGCAAGACAGCTGAAGCGGTGCACTACCTTCCTTCATTCTCACCCAACCATACCATCGTGACATCACCCACGGTTAAATGTGGTCCACCTCATCTCAAAGCATTGGTGCCAATTCATTTTTTGCGGTCCTCGTCCCACATAATCGATCCATGCTTTTCCAAGCGTTTCAACCCACTCTCGCTCCCAAGTTGGCCAGCTCAAGAAGGGGAGTTTCTCCGCATACATACGAGTCCGCTCTTGGCATGCCACGCCCGCCATGAGTATCCACCAAGCATATCAAAGCACCGGAGCTCCGTGCATATGTGTCTTGGCGTAGTCTAGAAGCTCCTTCTCGCAGAGGAGCACGGGGAACCTGGGGTACGCGTTTGTTTGGAGTATACGGCATTTGGACGAGACGGCGGCTCGGCACGGGTGCGTTAGCGTCCAAACGGTGAGCAAACGTGGTTCCCAAAACTACCTAAAGAAGAAATGCAATCTAGTGCGTTTCAATGCAAAAAACCCCCCCCCCCCCCGTGGATTAACTCAGTTAGTCGACAAGCACTGGTGGTGGTTGTGCGTTTGCACGAAATACCGCCAATGGGAGAAACTTTGGAAATGAAGATCGCCGAACCGCGCTTAAGTAGACGGAATGCCTGCTGTGCGAGCGATTCCCGACTGTATCCCTTTGGGTGAGCTTGAGCATTGCGTATAAAGATCTAGATATCTTCACTGTTTGTGTTTTCTTCACTGTCTTTCTTCAACACTGCGGGCAAGTTCCTATTCACTCTTTCATAGTTTTTGAGACACTGTCTTGGCACCTCCGTCCTCTCAACAGAACATACACGAGAAAACAAGATGCGTTTCTTTGAAACTGCTACGGTTGCTTTGACAGCAGCTTCCGCTGCCTATGGCTCACCTGTGGAAAAGCGCGCAGCCGCAGTCAACGAGCTTGTTGGTTTTGGAGCGGGTACTACAGGAGGGGGAAACGGGGCTGGTACCACTGTCTCTTCTTGCGCTGAGTTGACGGCCGCAGCAAAGGTCGGTGGTGTCATCAAGATCAAAGGCATGCTCGCCGGCTGCGGCGTCGTCCGCTTCGATGTCCCCGGCACCTCCATCCTCGGCGTCGGCAAGGATGCTGGGCTCACCGACAGTGGATTCCGCTTCTACAAGACTTCCAACATCATTGTCCGGAACCTCAAGCTCTTCCGTGCCCCCGAGGGCAAGGACCTCATTGACATTGAGTCTACTACCAATGTCTGGATTGACCACAACGATCTCTCCAGCCTGGGCGTGACGGGAGACAAAGACACATATGATGGTCTTTTGGACGCAAAGTCTGGCTCTGACTTTATAACCATCTCATGGAACAAGTTCCACGACCACGTGAGTTCACTTACATCACCCCCGTCACTGTAACAAGTAATACATACTAACATATTCTACAGTGGAAGGGATCTCTGATCGGCCACTCCGACAGCAATGGCTCCAAAGACAAGGGCAAACTGCGCGTTACGTACCACCACAACTCGTTTATCCGCGTCAACTCGCGTCTGCCCTCGATCCGCTTCGGCACCGCTCACGTGTACAGCTCGTGCTACAGCGGCGGCATCTCCGGCATCAACTCGCGCATGGGGGCCCAGGCCCTCGTCGAGTCAAACTCCTTCACCGACGTCAGCCGCGCTGTGGTAACAAACCTCGACTCGGACGAGGAGGGCTTCGCGACTGAGACCAACAACATTTTGAACAACAGCACCACGCAGATTACCAAGAAGGGCTCCTTCACCCCAAGCCACAAGTACACTGTTGATCCCGCGGCGAGCGTCTGTGCCATTGTGGAGAAGAGCGGCGGCGTGGGCGTTGTTACCTTCTAAGGTGGTGACTTTGTGCGGCAAGTGGTTACTGCTTACTTGCTCCGGAGATGAACCGATCCTAACGACGGTACCGTACATAATTTTCTTGCACTCGGCCCGTGACCCCACTGTATATAGGCCTCCAATTTACTTTTATTATTAGCAACGTTAGGTGCAGAGCCGATCAAACACAATTGCGGCTGGGTATTGCATCTTGTCTAGTTTGTGAAGTTACCAGAAAAGATTGCAGCAGTCAGCGAGATTGATGGGTGGAGCACGAATTCTTGAGATAGTATGACAAGGTCTTCATTCTTAACAAATAGTTTACGATTCGGGTATTCTTGACTCATCTCTCTCGTCCTAGTCTTCTCTCCTTCAGTTGCAAAAGCTTAATAGTCGTACACCGTGTCCAACCTCATCCGCACACACTCCCCTAACAAACACCTCTCTGCCCCTATAGCCATCGTCTTCCGCTTTATTTACTCTGCAAAAATCCACACAGCGCTTAGTAGAGCACTAATCAGGCCCACAATGACCAGGACGATTGGGCCAGCATAGATACCCGTGGGCAGACCCTCTGTAGTAAACTGAGCAACGATTCCCATGGTGAAGTTCTTGGCAGCCTCCCTCAGCGCAATCTCGGTCCAGTTTCCACAAGCGGCGTTGAGAGTTACGTCCTTGGTGAGAGGAGGTAGCTTGGCAACGGCTGCATCCAACATTTGTTTTGTGCTCAGCGTGCCCACGTTGGCTTTCTGCATCACAACAGTGCGGTAGCTCGAATTCGCGCCGATGATGGACATGTTTGCGGTGCGCTCGTAGTCCAGGCAGAGGTCTTGTTGGGAGGGTGTGGCGGAGACTTGGCGGGCTTGCAGCCCAGTGTCCATGCTGCCGGGGGCGGCAACATTTCTCGCGGCGGCTAACTGGAAGACGGACAAAAGCAGGAATAGTGGTGCGAAGAGCTGAGTGTACATGGCGGCGGTGTTGTGTCGTTATCGTATGCCTTATTTTTTTATTATTATTCGCGGATAGGTTGGCGCTGCGCGTTGGCGACGATGGCGAGCAAAAGAATCGTGGTGGGGGAGCGAAGGAAAAGAAGATATTATGAAAAACAGTAATAGAGAATCGGTGACCGGCACGCCTCGTAGAATTGAACAAACCCAAAGTGAGGGGGTAGAAGAGAAAAGCACCGGGTTGGGTGAAATTTTTGGTTCCACTGCCTGAGGTATACCAAGAAACGCGACAAGGGAGAAGCGAAGGAAGACAGGAGAAAATCAGGCCACTTGGTCGTGATATATGAGGCTACAACTGCTATGGTGGGAGAGTGTTCATACGGCGCTGCGACGTGGAGCGCCGGATGTTGGGGTGTGCATGAGGCTCTATGTGTATCAGGTTGCAGGGAGCCTGATGGTTAAGCGCCCCTAATTTGGGCGCTCGGCAGACTGCCTCGTGACGTGGGGAGCGTGTTGAGCGAGGCGTAGTGTCGCTCCCGCCAGCACCAATTGCTGCGTGGAGAATTTGCTGGGCGCTGGGCGTGCGCACTTGGTGGCGACGGCGTGGATACGAAGAAATACGGAGGTGCCTCACAAAAGTTTTGTCCCACGCTAATCTCGGCGCTTCGGCATAACTCTTCTTGGCGCAACTCCCACCTTTGAGCTGAGTAGCTGTACGATTTGTCTGTATCTATCGTTACAATGTCTCCTAATACTGATCCTTACACCCGCACCTTAATTGT